AATTCAGAGGCAAGGAGTCCTAACAAAGGCACAGGGGTCTGATATAATCGCTCAAAAGGAAGCTAATAAACAAATTGAGGGCGAAATGCGTCAAAATAGGAGGCGCCCGGGTGGAAGTGCACGGCAGCAAGCGCGCTGTAGGCGCTGCGGCGAGACAGGACATAATGCTCGTACGTGTCAAAAAGATGAGGAAGTTATTATAGAATAGACTGCAAGTTGAATTAAGTTAATATCTATTAGCGTTGTGGAGCAATCTACGTTCAAAGCTGTTGAGAGTTGATGAGGTGGCCGGCTCGCTTGTGTTGCACGTTATTGCATTTATCCTTGTAACTACCACTCCAACCTATCCTGCACATCTACATGTAATATCCAAACATGCCAAATATCATGAGCGGAACAGTCCACCTCGTACCACCTGGGCCATCTCGGTATACACATAAATCGTACATATACAATCTACTGTGGCTTAGAAGAGGTAGCGATCTCGCCCTCGCTGCTACCCCTCTCAGCATCGAATTCCTTGCTCTTGCGAATGCGGTTCCACTCCTCCTTGTCCGCGGTCTCGTCGATCTCGTTAGCCGTGATCTCAGGCGTCTCCTCATCCTCGATTTCCTCTGGGAGGATGAGGTTAAGGATGAGAGTCAGGAAAGCGGTCAACGCGAAGCCGGTCTCCATGACAAGCACGATGGCGTTGTAGAAGCCGAGGAGGGCGTGGTTGTTGCCTGTGTAGGTGAAGACATAGCTGAACCAGCTGTGGTATTCTTAGTGGTTGTTGCTAAGGCGAATACACGGCTGCGTCACTTACTTAGGGACTAGGGTGGCGCCGAAACCAACTGAAAGACCGCAAGTCAAGACGAAGCGAGTTCGTCGGGTGAAAGGGACGGTAGACATGATACGAACACCAGAAACAGCGACAGCGCTGAAGAGGAAGGTAGTCATACCTCCCAAGACTGCGCTGGGAATAGCGACAAGAGCGGCGGCGAACTTGGCGAAGATACCCATAACTAAGAGCCAAAAGCAGCATGCATAGCCAGCCTTTCGGTTGGCGCACTTGGTAAGAGCGATGACACCGTTGTTCTGTGCGAATGTGCTCATGGGGGTGATGGTCTAAAGAGAGAATTAGAAATAGCGCTTAGACAATGATAGAAACCGAGGACTTACGCAAAGAGCAGCAATGATACCGTTCAGTCCATCGGCCAAAACACCGCCCTGGATGCGAGAGTCGAAAAGCGCGCCATCGACCTCGAGACGAGACACATCGCAGGTGGCGGTGATGTCGCCTATCGCCTCCATGGCAAGCACAATGTAGACAGCTAATAGGGGTAACACTATAGGGCCGTATACACTTAGTTTGAAAGTATGGACCCAAATGAAGGAGGCAGCCGGGGAAGAGTCAATGCTGGAGCGGTCGAAGTAGCCACAAGCAGCAGCGACAATGCAGCCAACCAAGAGGCCAATGACAACGGCTGTGGACTTCATGATCGGGCTTCCAAATCGTTCGCAGAGAATGATAGTGAGGAAGACCAGGAAACCAAGACCGATAAATTGGGCGCTTCCCCAGGGAAGAGCATGGGGAGCATAGATGGTCGGGCAGAGCTGGAAAATACCTGAGGTTGGGCGGGAAGCGCAATCGTTGGAACCTCCGGCCCAGTTCTGGAAGCCAGTCTCGATCAAATGGACGCCAATGAGGGTGACGGTAGGACCAGTAACGAGAGGCGGGAAGAACTTCTTCAAGTATTTTGGCGAAGTGAAAGACATTAGCACTTCGAGCAGGGCACAGCAGGCCGCCGTTCCGATGATTGCTCCGTACCCGTCTGGGCAAGGTAGTTTGGTTCCATCGGCAGCAGTAGGGCAGAATCCGGTAACGTACATCTGAGCCAGAGCACCTGTCGCGACCGGAATTGTGGCGAACGAGGTCCCGACGACTGAAATAAGACCAGTTCCAATGTAGTAGGGAGTCTTATATATGTGGAATCTTGTAATCTGAATGCTCGATAAAATTCCACAGACAATGAGCGAGGTCGAGACTAGGTACTGCTGCAGATTCCCGTCCAGATTTGCGGCATTGCCGAGAATGATGGGTGGAGTAATGATACCTGTAGGAAGTAAGAAGAGGAACTCTAGAATTGTTTGTTTGCAGAAGCATACCAGCCAACATAGAGAGCGCGTGCTGGAAACCTAGCAAAAGCGCCAAGAACACGGGCATCTTATCGTTGAGGCCAAAGAAAGGGGCAGCGCGACGCTCCCTCTTCATGAAGGGAATGTTTGGCATGAATAGGAAGCCATAATCGTATGTTCCAATGAGGCCCTCCCTGTCATGTGTTAGTTCTTGAGTTGCACGGAAAGACGACTTTGACGAATGAGGCAAATAATGGTCGGTAGCAAGGTTTTGAGGAGCTTACTTGGTAGTGAATGCTTTGAAAAAGCTCTTCGCTTTATCACCGAAGCTCCTCTTCGGCGTGGTATCAGGACCAATTCGATCTGGTGAGTCGTCCATGGCAGCGGCAGGGAATGTGCTCGGTAGGTTGGTTGATCACTTTTGAGGGTTTGGTGGAACCTTTATGGTCGTTCAGAGCTTCATGCACTCTCGCTTATCGTGGACACCGAGGCGCTGTATTTGGTATGGTGCAAAGATACAGAAGATTGGCGGTAGATCTTGATAGCTATCAGAGCTTCGATAGCTGCGATGTCCAATAACTGTTGCGAGGAGGAGCGGAACTGGATCGTGTGTGCTGGAACCGATCTTGAGATTCCCTGTTCTGGCGCGATATGTGGTACCGCTGCGGAGTCTGACGCTCCAAAGTCGTAGGAGGCGGAAATAAGCTCTGGCAATTGGAGGATGCTGGCTGGATGGGAAGACTGATTCCGGCTGCACTCCCTCAGGCTTTAATACTGGAGGATGAGAAGTAGATTCATCACGGCCGAGGACTCGCAACACACAATCTTCGCAGCTAAACCCGCTCTCTGCATCCCGCGGGAGCTCCGCCAGGGCCTGGGGATGGTCCAGACAGCGCCCAGGGTGCATCGTGGGCGATGGGACTGTGGGAGCGGCCGACGAGCATCGTTATTCGCCGTAGCGCTGTCACGATGTCCTCGGGGCCAGTGGCTACTCGGTAGCTGCTGGGCGGGAGTCCGGCGATCGAGCAATGCCGTTTGGTAAACGCCTTGGCGGAGAACTGTGATAAGAGGTCTGGAGTCCTGCTAATTGGCTGGAAAAACGGTGCGGTCACGTGATCCGGCCAGCTCCGATGAACAGGTCCCCGACATCGTCGCGGTGCGCAGCAAGTGCCGCGATTTCTGTGGAGAAGGCCCGAAACAAGGGTGCTTCTGGAGCCTCATAGCTCGTGCAAACAAAGCCTTTCGACCGTGTGGTCGCGTTCAGGGCGCCGCATGCCGACACAGCTATCGTCGGGGAGTTGTTGCTACGACGCGACGGTACGACGTCTGTCTTTTCTTCTTCTCTCGGTTTTCTGTGTTGCGTCAGCGGGAGTTGCTCCGAATTCTCTGTAGTCAGGGGCATCCACTGCTCTGCTTCTTGTTCAGATGGCTCGGCTCTGTCATTGATGTCCTAAATGTCTAACTTTGTCGCATTTGCTTCTTGTGCATCAAATCCTATGACCAAAAATGTCTCACTCGATGGGTGCTGCTGCTTCTGTTCGCAGAAGCGTGGAAAAGACGTGGAAGTGTAATTGAGCAGAAGTAAGTTTTGCGATCTCGTTTCCTCTAGACCTTGAGAGTTACTCTGAGAAAGTGCCAATCTGGAGGGGTCCAGTTGTTCTTGTACACGGGCACTACTGACACGACGTGGAGGAAGAATGCCACTATTTACATAACTGTTGTATGCGGACGCCCAATCATTGAGGCCGAGCGCAGATGGACAATATTCCGCAATTCTTAGCGAGGATTTCTCGATTTCGCAGGACACAAGCGCCATAAAGAAGCAACCATTTGGAGATGACAGCTAACTATGGCGTTGGCCAGAGCTTTTCCTTACAGCCTCAGTAGCTTTGATAGGCTCTAAGCATAAGGGTACTGGCGGATCGCAAAGACCGCTTTAACGGAGCCTTTTGAGTTATGGAGTGATGTTTCTCAGTCTCTTTGGGCTGATGTAGAAGACGGAGTAGCAAAGCTGCCAGCCTCTGGAGCTGCTCATACGGTCGTAAGAGACGCATCACGTGGGAGCCTTTGCTATGGACAGACGCCGAGGAAAAGCTGTTGGGACATGCATAGGCCGACAACGAACAACAAAACCATTCCTCTAGGAGATGTGCTTGCGAAACAATTCAATCTAATCTGCTGCAATTGGCTACTTCCCCTCGAGGAAGCCTAGACATACCGAAGGATGATGTTGATGACGACACCATCTCCTCGCGGCGAATATCCACCGAGGCCATCAATCAAGCACTGCAGTTACTATCGAAATCGGGAAGCTGCACAGCGAGGCAGGCAGCGAAATGTTGAGATGCAGCTGCCAGCCAGGCGGAGACGGTTCCTTGAGCTTGACAGAGCGTGTGCTCGGCGGTTGGGCGCTTCCTGAGTTATCAGGCGACCGGTTTGCATGTGATGCACAATGCTAGGGTGCTATATGCCGCAGAACTTCATGCCGAAACTTGGCCCTGTTTTGAGTTACATAGAGGGGTGTGGGGGAGTTTTTAGACTGACTAGGCTTGGCATACACCACCGTGATTTCTTGAGAAGACTCCATCACGTGATGCGATCTAAAGCAATTTGCCACCGAGATTATGTCACGTGACGGAATCTTCTCAGAAATCACGGTGGTATGTTTACAGTTTGTAAGGCTTCCGGGCTTCCTCAGACGGCGCTATCCTGCAGAATTGTGAGTGTGTTGTGCTTGTCAAAGGCGGTCAGTCTACAAGCTCCAGGATAGAGCACTTTGGGCGTGTACTGGGCCAGCAAAAGACGATGACCACGCCAGCAACACGTGAGCATGGTGCTCCCAACGATTTGCAGATCAGAAGTGGAGGAGCCTTGTGGGCCGAGGTCAGCAATCCGACTTCCGGGGCCGCACGAGCATCTTTTTTCCTGGGGTTGGCTCCGGCGTTGTGTGCTGTGGTGCGGCTGTGCGGCCGTGGTTGATAAGGCTGAGCCTCGAGCTTGCAACTTGGTGGGAAAGGGTCCACAAATTCTCCGGGCCCGGCAGGCTCCCGACGCCACCGCTGCCCGCGTACAACCTCGAGAAACGGCGATTCTAGCTGCCTTGGTGGTTATGTATATCACCAAAAGTTGAAATCTGGCCTCTTCGCGGCATGCTCCAGCTCCCGCCCAAGCAGGCAGCGATTTGCCCTCCGCGCGGCCGTGGCGGGAAGGCGAGAGCGGTCGTCATGCAAGGGCCCGACTCGCTTAGCTTGCTGCGTGGGGAGCATCGCGGCTGCTCATGATGTTGTTGGGCTCAACATTTTGGTGACCTGGATCCGGCACTGCAGCCCTTCCTTCCGCCCACCAGCCCTTATTAATAACACGCCCCTCCGCCAACACTCGCCCTCGCTGCACGCATTCTCTGACTGCGGGACTCCTCTGACCACGACATTCCTTCGCTGCGTCTCGTCGCCGCTCGACCACCTCCGAGAAAGTCCCCGACGCCGACAGCTTCTCCGTCCGGTACCTTCCACGTCTGGCCGTCGACGTCAATTTCGATTCTTCACCTCTCCTCTTCGCGGCATCTCCTCTTCGCGGCATCACCAACATGTCTTCTCACCAGCCCGTTGCCGGCATGTCCGCCGTCGACCCCGAATTCCTTTCCTCGCAGCCCCCCAGCATGGCCTCCAAGTCGGAGCCAAACCGCAACCCCAACTACGACCCGAAGAAGCCACACATCACCGACACTCCCATGACACGGAAGAATTGGTACAAACATGTCGATTGGCTAAACGTATGCCTTCTCGAAACCGATTGCGCACGACTCTACTAACAATCTCCAGACATTTTTCATCATTGGTATCCCCATGATGGGCCTTGTCGCCGCCTGGTGGACCCCGCTTCAATTCAAGACCGCCATCTGGACCGTCGTCTACTACTTCTGGACCGGTCTCGGAATCACAGCTGGCTACCACAGGCTCTGGGCTCACAAGTCGTACAGCGCTACTCTGCCCCTGCAGATCTTCCTCGCTGCCGTAGGTGGCGGCGCCGTCGAGGGCTCCATCCGATGGTGGAGCCGTGGCCACCGCGCTCATCATCGCTACACCGACACTGTTAAGGACCCGTACAGCGTTCGCAAGGGCCTCATGTACAGCCACATCGGCTGGATGGTCATGAAGCAGAATCCCAAGCGAATTGGCCGCACCGACATCAGCGACCTGAATGACGACCCCGTTGTTGTTTGGCAGCACAAAAACTACATCAAGGTCGTCCTCTTCATGGGCCTGATCTTCCCAACTCTCGTTGCTGGTATCGGCTGGGGCGACTGGTGGGGCGGCTACATCTACGCCGGAATTCTCCGCATTTTCTTCGTCCAACAGGCCACTTTCTGCGTCAACTCGCTCGCCCACTGGCTCGGCGACCAGCCCTTTGACGACCGCAACTCGCCCCGCGACCATCTCATCACTGCTCTCGTCACCCTCGGCGAAGGTTACCACAACTTCCACCACGAATTCCCGTCAGACTACCGCAATGCCATTGAGTGGTTCCAGTACGACCCCACCAAGTGGAGCATCGCCTTGTGGAGCAAGCTCGGCCTGGCCTACGATTTGAAGCAATTCCGCTCCAACGAGATCGAGAAAGGCCGTGTCCAGCAGAAGCAGAAGAAGCTCGACCAGCAACGCTCTAAGCTCGACTGGGGTGTTCCCCTCGACCAGCTCCCGGTTGTTGAGTGGGAAGACTACGTTGAGCAAGTCGCCAACGGGCGCGGTCTCGTTGCCGTCGCTGGTGTCGTCCATGATGTGTCTGACTTCATTCGCGAACATCCTGGTGGAAAGGCTCTGATCAAGTCCGGCCTCGGCAAGGACGCCACTGCCATGTTCAACGGCGGTGTCTACAACCACTCCAACGCCGCCCACAACCTTCTCTCCACTATGAGAGTCGGTGTCATCCGTGGCGGGTGCGAGGTCGAGATCTGGAAGCGTGCCCAACGGGAGAACAAGGATGTTCAATTCGTCAAGGACGACCAAGGAAACAAGATCATTAGGGCCGGAAACCAGATCACGAAGATCGAGCAGCCCATTGTTAGCGCTAGCGCTGCGTAGACTGGTCTCGACTGTTGGATCTTATTTCCTATTGTCAACATCATATGGCTGAGCGTTCTGGGGCGTTTTCGGGATAGGGCATTACACTTGGAGTGGGAGCGATTGATTATTTTTTTCTTGCTCTCGCTAGATGGTGCCAGCGATGACTGGTTCGTTAGATCACAGGAGTTGTCCAGACGGGCAGTGTTTGACGGCTTTTCGGGTTGATGGGATGAGAAAACGGCGATATGCCTTGCAATGAAGAATACTTTATCCAAAAACCTAACTTTTATGCTTGATGAAGTGACTTGACATTAGTCCTGGCATATACTTACGATAACACAGCGCCTGAGCAGAGCCATCTTCCGCAACACAATCTCACTTTCACAATAGGGGATGATTGACTGGATTTCGGTACCATGCCTTGGTATTCATGTCTACGGAATTCCCTCCCAATCTCTATCCTCCTCCATATCCCTGAAGCCATCTCATTCGATAATGTCTGGTATTACACTAAAAAGCCGAATCTACCACGCCCTCCATATCTGGCCCACTACTTCAACTCCGCCGGCACCGTATCCTTTAGCCCGTGCTTGCTGACCAGCTCGTCTACTTTGGCGACGTACGCCTTCTCGGCGTCCGCGGGGGTGACGCCTTCGTTGACGTACTTTTCCCACTTGGAGCGCTTGGCTTTTCCCTGTGCATTCATGAGCTGTCAGTGGATATCTAGGCGAGGCAAGTGGCGAGGGTTGAAAGGTATAAAGAGGGTATATAGGGGTATAGGCTGGGGAAAGGGGGGGGGGGGGGGGGGGGGGGGGGGGGGGGGGGGGGGGGGGGGGGCGCGGCTGGGTGAGGGGAATTACGCACAGCCAGATCGAACATGCCAGGCTTCGGGGTCGTGGCCAGGTCTTTTTCGGCTTTGGCAATGACGGCGTAGGCGTAGAGCTAGAATCGAGTACTCTATTAGCTTTTGTTCCTTTTCTTCAGTCTTGCATGTGGGATAGAGGAGGCGTACGTCCAGCATGTCGTCGTTGCTCGCGTTCTGCAGGTACGTCGCCTTCTTGTACGCCTTTTCGAATGCGGGGGAGGTGGTGCGGGGGGCCATTGTTGCGGGTGAGTTGGACAGTTTGAAGGGAGTTTCGAGGGAGGAGCTGGAGATTGTTTGGATTTTGGGGTTTGGTGGATGGTGGTGTTTAGGGAAGGAAAGTGTTGGGATGGCGGGGAGGTGCGGGGCTGACGGGCGGGAGTCTGGTGACGTACCTGGGTTTGAGCCGGGGGTGTCAGGCGGCTGAGGGTTCAGGGGTTGGAAGTGGGTTTGTGTAGAGCGTTGGAAAATGGAGGCTTAGGAGTTGCAAAGGTAGGGAGCGCCGTACGGGCTGTTAAGACGCTGCAATGATCGACTCGAGCTGCGGAATTGTAGCTCGGCGAGTTTCTTATGTATGTCAAACCACTGATGTTCTCAAAAGGTTCTCTTTTGAGTTCCTTTCGGGTATCTAGAACGTTACTCATCGTGTATCTCGATGAGTTGAGTGTGGCGTCAACATGGCTATCGATCTGAAGCGTACTCCACTCCATCATAGCCTCCAAACAATCATACACAACTCAGCTCTCCTTTTCTCATTAATCCTGTTGTTACATTCGGTTCTACATTTTCGGTCTTCATGCCAGTAAGCATCACACATCATCGATATATCTCATCGAATGGTCTTGTATCTGAGAAACAGCTATCCCAAACCTCGTTCACCACCTTCGCAGCATGAACATCGTCCTTGCATTCTGGCCGTGCTTTGATACTGAGTGTAGCTCGCCGCCGGACGCACTCTTGGAGTTGTTGAGTTATGTTGAACTGGCTTTTACCGAAGAATTCGCGGGTGAATCGGCATTCGCCGCTGAGGGTTGAGGCGCGGATCTTGGGAGGTGTTAGTTTCCTGATGTGAATCGAGGAGAGAGAAGAAGCCTGTGTCGACTAGAGCGGGTGCTCCAATTTGGCTACGTACCTCAGTGCAAGCCTGATGCCGCAAGTTTGTCTCGTCGATCTTGAATCTCAAGTAGTCCCACGCGTGCACCAGCTCATGCGACAATGTGTCCTCCAAGTGTGACCGGCCCTTCATGTGGTTCGAGCATAGCAGTACCCCGACCTTTGGGTTGATTCCTCCCTTGTGCGACTCGGTGCAGCGTTTGCAGTGGATGTTTCCGGCATGGAGGTTGCCGCCGAGTTTGGCGACTTCGGATTGGAGGAAGGTTACGGTTGGGCCTGGTAGAGTGTTAGAAGTAGCTTTTATCATGAGTTCGAAGCAGAAGCCCTGAGTGTATTGAGTGTGAGGATGAGAGACATACTGTACTTGAGTAGATAGTCCCGGTAGTCTTCACACTTCTTGCAGTCGCGCTCCTCATTGACAGTATCGCGGATTTGGAGATACCTCTCCCTGTCTCCTGGATTTCCCCTGCCTGCCAGCAGCGTGAAGAGGGTGGACCATGTGTAGAAGGACGGATCGAGGTCTGGCGAATTCGGGGATGCGCCTTCGGTGGTCCGCTGCGGCGGCGAGGCGTTGGTGGAGTCCGTCATCTACGGGGCAAAGGGCGTGGACGAGGCAATTGTGGCCTGGCGGAATAAGGCGATTGTGAAAGAGTGTGCGATTGTAGATTCCGGTGCGAGGGCGAAGGGCGTGCAGCTTGTCTTTTTCGCGGTCGTGAAGCCGGAGCAGGCGCACCCGCGATTGGCTGGCGGTCACGGCGGTGAGGAGGTTATTCTATCTATATAATTTAGTTAGAAAGGCGCCCATAAAGTTCGACTCATGCCCCCACTCCTTCCCCGCTACAAAACACGTACGGAACTGATACAGCACAGAGCAATTGATCAGACAGAAAGCCATAGATACTAAAGCTGCCATGGCCGGGCAGGCGAGAAGACGGCTCACCATTGTGATCAAACTGGGTACATCGCACACTGTGCTGGCAATTCTCGCAAGAACGTTCTAAAGAATACCTTAGGTACAAGCTCTATCGTTGACGAGAAAACCCACGAACCTCTGTTCTCAATTCTCTCCGTCATTGTCAAGACATGCGTCAAGCTTATCAAGGACGGCCACAGAGTCGTACTGGTCTCTTCTGGCGCCATTGGCGTTGGACTCCGACGAATGGATCTTGATCGTCGACCGAAACACCTCCCTAAGGTTCAGGCCCTGGCGGCAATTGGACAATGCCGACTTATGAGTCTATGGGACAAGCTGTTCGACAATCTCAATCAGCCAGTAGCTCAGATACTGTTGACCAGGAACGACATCGCGGACCGGACTCAGTACCAGAATGCTCAGGCGACCTTCACGGAGCTCTTCAAGATGAATGTTATACCAATCGTCAACGAAAACGACACGCTGGCCGTCACTGAGATCAAGTTTGGCGACAACGACACTCTTTCCGCCATAACCGCCGGAATGGTACAGGCAGACTACCTTTTCCTGATGACCGACGTCGACTGCCTCTACGACAAGAACCCCCGCTCAAATCCAGAGGCTCGAGCCATAGAGGTCGTAGAAGACATCGCCGACCTCGAAGCGGACGTTTCTAGCGCCGGCTCAGCACTTGGGACAGGCGGCATGTCGACCAAGATTGTTGCGGCTCGCTTCGCCACGTCTGCCGGCGTCACAACAGTGATAACACGCTCCTCAAAGCCCGGAAACATCCCCGCGATTGTATCATACATCGAGTCACGACGAGCTGCTCCTCCTTCCCCGCGCCAGAATGTTGCCGATGATATCCCTCTGGCCCAAACTGCTGCACTAAACCTCGCCCATGCCACGGCCGCCTCCTCGAGAACCCCCTCGAGAACCCCCTCTCCTAACCAGACAGCCGTCGCACCCCTCCACACACGCTTCCTCCCGAATCCCCATCCGATCCGCGACCGCCAATTCTGGCTTCTCTACAGCCTCGCCCCCCACGGTACCATCTTCATAGACTATGGAGCATGGAAGAAGATGTCCGGAACATCAACACGCAACCTCCTCCCTGCAGGCGTCGTCGGTGTTGAGGGCAATTTTGGACAGCAAGAAGCCGCACGCCTCGTTGTGGTCCAGAGACTCCCTCCGACGGACTCTGTTCCACACGCGCACGCCCTGACCAACGCCTCCGGAACCTCCACGCCAACTTCTACGTCGTCCTCTGCGCCCCTCGCCCACAACTCATCCGCAACAACAGCAGTGACGTGGGAAGAAAAGGATCCAGCTCCTTTCGAAGTCGGCCGTGCGTTGGTCAATTACTCCGCTGCAGAAATTCGCAAGATTCGGGGGCTTAAGAGCACGGACATTCACGAGGCACTCGGATATGCGGACAGCTCGTATGTTGCATTGAGAGGGAACATAGCATTCTATGAGGACAAGCGGAGTAGGCCTGCGACGCCGGCTCTGCTGGATGGTGGAGTTGGGCTAGATTGAGCAGGTGAAAAAGATGAGAAGTGTGGTACAGCCTGTTTGCCTGAAAGTTCTGATCGGTTTGTGAGGTCTTAGATGCATTTCTGCTGGCGTCTGGAGGCGAGAGAATCGGAAAAGTGCGACTTCTTGGAGGTGCTCGAGAGTTACGGAGAGGAATCAGTCAGGCGTTTTGGTACATTCTTGGGGCAAAGAGGTCATGGAGGGTACAAATCTACATTACGACTGGCTTTGCCACGGGTAAACGCGGTACGGAGGTTCCTGTTTCCTATGTCTCTTGCTTCAATAGAGAGAATATCCTATGTAGCTCCTTATTCACCAAAACCTCTTGGTCTTTGATGCCGACTCAGTTTGACTTACGCAACATGATGTCGGTGATCCGTCATCTTCCACCACACCAGATAAGGCTCGACGACAAAGTTACGGCCTTTTCTTTTGAAGTCTTTCGGCTTTGCCATTCCTTACAGACTCCCTAAAAGTGTCGCTAGTTCTTTCAATGGGAGCTCATCTACCACCAGCGTACCCCTAAAAATTTCGATGAGCTTTTCCCAGGCTCTTTCGCGTCCGCGTTCTCTAAGTATATCCTTTGATGTCCTGGTCTCGTTAATAAACACCGAACAAGTGACCAAAGCCCCCGAAGAGGGTCCACTCACCCTTCACATCCACAGCCAGCACCTTATACTCATACTCATTCTGACTCGGCCTCTTCGTCATATGGATATTAACCACCCCCTGATTTTTCGGGCCCTCGACATAGAAATGCATCCGCAGATGCTCCGTCCCCCATCGATCCTTCTCGGTCGACGATGCGATAATCCTATTCCTAGCCCACCGGCTCCAGCTCGGCTCTCCATAAGCCTTTATGTGTTTCGAGTCACCGAGTAGCTCGACGCAGCGCTTGTCGCGCCGGATCTGGTCCGTGGCACGGTTGAAGTGGGCGGTTTTGCTGTCGAGGGAGAAGACTTCGGTGTAGAGGAGGGCGAAGACGGCGCCCTGGATGTCTTGTTAGCTACAATCCGATCTTCAATTCCCATCCTCCAATGCTAGTGATACAAAACACAGAGGAGCGGTATCTCGAGGGGTCAAGCATACCGTCATCACTACTCCTAGCAGTACGATCCCTAGATTGAACGTCTGCTGTGTCGTCCGAGCCACCTTCTCTGTTTTACTGAGGGCCCCCCATCGTACGCGACCGTCGTCATTCACGACGGTAATGTGCTTGCGGCCGGAGGAGGGCGTGTTGGAGCTGGGCGACGCAGCCTTCAAGCTTCGTTGCGCCGTGAAGCTCCGCACGAAGAGCACGCGGGGCGCAGGTCGTCGAACCGGTCGACTCAAACAAGAGCCCCGTAGATTCTCAAGACGCAAGGGCTGCGGCAGGCGATGGAGAGCAGTCATGGTGTTGTAAATCGTCACATTGGCGGAGGTTGTCGAGGCATGTGGTGGAGCTCAGGCGCGCAAGGTGGAGTCGTTTATTTCCCGCGGCTTGCTTGCGTTTCTGGTGCCACATCAGAGCAGTGGCGTCGAACGTCGTTGACAGCGCTTCAACAACCTCAACCTCTCCATCAACATCTATGAACGCCGTTTCTCCCCTCCGCCTTCTCTATTCTTAATTTTATACCTCGCTCGACGCGCTGAGTACCGAGATCCGGCGTCATGAGTAGCAACAAGCGGTCTACGCTGTCTTACATCCCCGATGTGATCATGGTCGTCGCCGCGGTATGTCCGCATTCATTCACGCATTTCACAATGTAAACACTAACGACTTGAGAACAGCCCATCATGGCCTACTTCATCGTGCGCGGCATAATATCAAAACTAGACCCGGACGCGCAGGAGAGGGAAAAAGCGAAGGAGAAGGCCAGCGCGGCTTCGCAGAAGCTCAGTTCGATCCTCGAGAACAAGGCGCACTACGACTCGGACGATGAGGACTATGATAGTAGTCAGAGGCGGCCGAGGAAGGAGGATTTGATCTTGACGCCGTACGAGCAGACGATTGCGATGGAGGTCGTGGCGCCAGAGGAGATACCGGTGACGTTTGAAGGTATGGATTGTCTACCCTATCCTCATTTGCTCGCATTCTAGGACCAGGAATATCGAGTGCTTGGGGCGTCCATTACTTTAAGTTTCTGGCGGGAATTTGAAGATGTAAAAGGCACATTTGCTAACTTTAATCCACCAGACATCGGCGGCCTCGACTCCATAATAGAAGAACTCAAAGAATCCGTCATATACCCACTTACCATGCCACACCTCTACGCACACTCCTCGTCTCTTCTCTCGGCTCCTTCAGGTGTTCTACTCTACGGTCCCCCAGGTTGCGGCAAGACCATGCTTGCAAAAGCTCTAGCACACGAATCCGGCGCCTGCTTCATCAACCTACACATCTCGACTCTCACGGAAAAGTGGTACGGCGACAGCAACAAGCTCGTAAACGCCGTATTCAGCTTAGCCCGGAAACTCCAACCCAGCATCGTATTCATCGACGAAATAGACGCGGTATTAGGTCAACGGCGAAGCGGGGAGCACGAGGCGAGCGGGATGGTGAAGGCTGAGTACGTTCAGCCCCCCTTTCCCCCAAGATACCCACATTCCCACCTCCCATGCGAAACCAGAAAATGCAATCCTTAAGCTAACGTGTATGTGTAATGTAGATTCATGACCCACTGGGACGGCCTCTCCTCCTCCTCCCGCCCCGGCAGTACTACCCCTCAGCGAATCTGCATCCTCGGCGCCACCAACCGCATCCAAGATATCGACGACGCGATTCTCCGCCGCATGCCCAAGAAATTCCCCGTCGCCCTCCCCTCCGCGTCCCAGCGCGCAAACATCTTCACCCTCATCCTGCGCGGCACGAAAATCGACAACACCAACTTCGACCTCGACTACCTTGTGAGAGTGTCCGCGGGTATGAGCGGCAGCGATATCAAAGAGGCGTGCAGAGATGCGGCCATGGGGCCAGTACGCGAGTATATCCGCAGGAAGAAGGCGGAGGGCGCAGGCGGGTTGAGGGGCGGTGTGCGGGCGAGCGAGGTGAGGGGCCTGAGGACGGACGACTTTTTCGGGCGGTGGCGGGAGAAGGGGCGGGAGCCGGGGGAAAGGGAGGTCGAGGTTGAGGCTGAAGATCCTGAGGAGGTGCTGCCTACATACCGGAAGTCGAGGACGGCGACGACGGATGATAGTGAGGCGAGTAGTAGCGTTGAAGAAGACTTCAGGGACTCAGCGTATGTGCAGCCGGAGGAGGAGGAGGTGAGGCGGTGAGAACGGCTCGGATGGGTCTTGTGTGTGTATTGGAGGAGGAGGAGGGAGGATGTTCGCGCTAATAGACGTACATATGACCGGGTGGGTGAAGGTTGTGGTATACCAAGAAAGACACTTCTCTGGCTTCGCAGCTATGCATCTTATAGGCTCGGAATTGGCGTTTTTGTCCCGTGTTGGATACGGATATTGGAGGTTTACATTGACCTGCTATGACGCTTTGAGGGTAGAGTAGACTTTCCTCTTATGTATGGTACGACACTGGTCCTGATCCTATCATATCAAAGCTGCTGCCCTGAATATTGACCGTGCCGCTGGCGGTAGGAACAGGGTAAATGGGAGTAATGCGAGTAATGCGAGTAATGCGAGTAATGGGAGGACGGGGGGAACATGTCTAGGAGGTCTCATTCGCATCGAGACTGTTTCCAGCCGCCTCACAAAGTTATTAGATATCGATTACATTTTATCGTCACTTCAAGATTGTCTTCGACGTAGAGGCGGCAGTGATAAGAGGCACTATTTGATAGCCTTTCTTACTATTCGAATACATTCTCTTAGATTTTGGGTCTATTTCAGTGCCAAAGCCTGGAGATACTATCAACTGACAGTAAAACGAGGGCAAATAACATATTATCACGTGACCGATGGACACTGATCTCCAAACTTCATCCCGCCAAGCTCCAACCACCTCTCCCTCAACCCATGCCCAATCCTTTCCGCCGAACCGCCAAAATGTCCTTCTACACTATCAGCGACCTCGGCCGCATAACCCGCGACGATCTCTCCCAACACCTCCTTTCCGCCTCCCCGCCCCCGCTCCCACCCCACCTCGCCATCGTCGACGTCCGCGACTCCGACCACGTTGGCGGCCACATCGCCGGCAGCACACACATTCCTAGCAACACGCTCGACTACCGGTTGCCCGAGCTGCTGCGCGTGCTGAGGGATAAGCAGACGGTAGTGTTCCATTGCGCGCTGAGCCAGCAGCGGGGGCCGAGTGCGGCGTTGAGGTATTTGAGGGAGAGGAGGAGGGAGGAAGAGAGGCAGAGGGAGATTGAAAAGGAAGAGGGCTTGAAGCAGCAGGTTGTTGTGTTGGAGGGGGGATTTGTGAAGTGGCAGGAGAAGTGAGTGAGGTCCAATGGGGCTTGGAGTTGGGTCATGATATGAAGGCTAATTCGTGATTGTTGACAGGTTCGGAGAAGACAAGCGGTTGACCGAGGCTTATGCGAAAGATATTTGGGAACATGGCTATCAAGGTTGATACTGACTTTGTGGCATTGGGAATTGCTTAGCGGGATCAATCCCGGCGTTTTTGGGTTGCATTGCATGGCAGGGGACTTAGGTGTATTTCCGGCACTGAAGTTGTTTTCGCTTTGGTCACGTCACTGCTTGGCGATACTCCAATTCAAGATGAAGAGGAAATCAGGGCGATGAGTTGCTTGGTGAGCATCATAAAGCCTACAAGCTCTTTCTCTCCCGTTCAAGTCAATCCACCATATCACGAACGCATTTACACTTGAGAAGATCTAATAGCCAGTATGACGTCCTATCCGGCGAATAATAGCCCTACATCTCATCCGAAGCCTTCGTGAGAACACACACTTGCAATAGAGCGAATCTTGTAGCATTCAACAATACTACCCATTTCGTGTCTGTTCGTCATCAGCCATTTACTTTCTTTCTCGCTGTACCCGCTTATTGTGTACCTCGTTTGACAGCGTCGAACATACTCCTGATCTCAATATGACCAACGCTTTGCACTACTGTTCCTGAAAGCCTTTCACGCATTATGTCTACCACACTTGACCCAGACGTGGTCGAGGATGTGTAACGAGGCGAATAAGAGGTGTACGTAAGTTAGCCTCAGAAATAAAGTAAAGTGACAATAGTGACTGGCAACGGAGTGAGAAGTGTTTGGTATATTGTCAGTATAAAGCTACTGAAAAGGAGATAGAGCTTGGCTGACTATCAGTCTTTCTTGCTTGAGATGTTGTTCTTGACAAAGGAGAGGATAGGAATCGATCCTGGGAAGCAACGATAAAGTAGAAAGCAGAATCTCATGCCCCAAACGCCAAAAAGCCACATCGGAAGTTCACATTCCCCAAGATCACAGCCTTACCCTATACAAGCCCTTGTGGGGCTTGTTTCCATCAACCTTCTTCGTTGTCATCAGATCCGTAGCCACCATCAGAGGTATACCCCTCCTCCCCATCATCCGACGTACCACAGGACGACCCATTCAACGAACTCGACCTCGATCGCGCATTCGCAACGGCGTCGTCCATACTCACGTCGCCTACATCACAGTTTCCACGTGGCGGAATGTTGACCTGTGTCTCCTGCGGGAAGAATTGCTTGAAGAATCGACTCTGGTTTGGACTCGTGATGAGGGGCTTGAAGAAGCACCCTAGGCTCGGGTCTAGGCCCAGCTGCTTGAAAGTTGCAGCGATGCGGCCGAGATCGCTCTCCAGATCTAAACGTTCAAATAGCGAGATACCGTCGATAACGCAGAATACGGGGGTGTGTGCTGGCAGTTGGTATACTAACTTCTCGAAGGCAGCACAGAGGTAGTGCAAATCGTGGCTTTCCAGCGCGTCCCGGTACCGGTGCGAGTCCACGAAGTCGAAACGGAACTCGTACATCCGGAGCAGTTGCGCTGTAAGGCTTCTCATCATCCCTGTGGGACCGGAGAGAGGATCATTGGAGCTGGTGTGGAGCCCGCAGAAGAAACTGAGGTGAATTGGGGTCCCGGAGCGTCTATGCTCGAAACTACGGAGAAGAGCGGCACACAGTGTGGACATTGGAGAGATGCGCTCTAACTCGAAGCCATCGGCGTTTCCATCTACGAGGAGTATCTCTGATTGTCGCGAGGAGATGATGTTTTGGAATTGCTGGGACTGGAGGAGCCACGCGCCTTGACCTTGACAGGATTGGTCCATTGCCTCGCGCTGTCGTAGGGTGTTCTCAATATCTAGAGACACGATATCTACGTTTACATACAGGCTCTGTAGGAATTGTTCTTGGTTGATATACTCCTTGGAATAATCAAGTGGAGGAGACGGCGACCTCCTCAATGAACTCCCTGAGCTTATAAGTTTGCGCAGAGCTAATACTCGGGTGCACGAAACTTACATTGTGCTTGATTTAAGATCTCAAGACATTGCTCGATCAGCCATTTCTTACCATCTAATCCTGCCTCTTGCGATTTCTTCCATTCGCGGTCTTGAGACATGAATTCTTGGAATTCACATCTCCCACTCTGCAACTCTTTTTTGATCAAGCCCGTGTCGCGGTGGACCAGTGGCATCTGTGTTATCATTCTCTCCACGGAGCTCTCGGTCTTACGATGAACCATCCCTTCCAACGTAGCTGTCTTGCTATTGAAAGCGTCTTGGAGTCTGTGAGCACGATGGAGAAGGTCATCCAGCCTTTTGTAGGCAATGGGCCCTTTTAGGAGATATATCCCGTATTTGACTAGACCTGTTAGTGCGTGACGACTTTCTCGCTGAGTAGGGTACCTACTGTAAGACTTTTCTGTGAACCATGAGATCATCTCGTCTAGTGCTTGCAAGATCGTGACATAAAGCTTGATAGCTACTTGCTTGAGATCTTCGCTGTCGGGATAGAGGATTCGCTTCTCGAAAGCCGATTGCAGCATTGCTGTCAACGCCTCGAAGGACTCTATGATTTTTATGCGGAATTCAGCAATCTTTGCGGCAGCCTAAAAGGTCGTATTAGAAGTGACGCCTCCAAAATAAGATTTGATTGAGCATTACAGTAAATAGCCGTGTCAGGCCCCCCTGTATGGTCTTACAGTTGTCGCCCTGGGGCATGAGCTCTAGCCATACGACAACCGCAGCGGCATATTCTCCTTTTGATCTAAATAATCGATTGCGAAGTTTGGAGCCATCTTCCTCGTATTTTCTTTGCGCTTCCTCTGCAACCTCCAAGACGGTTTTCCACGTCGCTGGGTGCTTCGGGGAGCGGTTGACCCAAACCTTTCGCTTCTTTTCCTTCTGCTTCGATTGGTACTCTTTTATAGCTTCTTCGAAGTCACTGTCGCTGTTAGCACAATTGCAAATTGAATAGTGGCGTGAATCATGGGTCCGCACTGAACAGGCTTCCAGTCCTCGTCTGGCTCAATAGACTTTGTTCCAAATCCGGGGTGAATCGCTGGAGCCTCGCGCTCCACCCAGAGCCGGGCCTCTTCTGTATTCGTGATAGAGAAAGCGTTCTGTTCGGCGAAGGAAGTGGTACCCATGACCGTAGATTGCGCGTAATATTTGAGTACAGAGAACTCGCGATATGAAGATAGCAAATGATCAAGATGTCCAATTCGACATAAAGGCGTAGGAGCCTTCAAGACTTTGTACATGCTTTAGGATTGAGACGTTGCGGCGTTCAGACAAAGATCAGAAGGAGACCGGTCGCCGGTCAACCATCAGCACCAAAGTATTTTCGCAACCGGAAAGGCTACAGTGGGGGAATTAGAACGATAGTGGTTCAACTCAGCTATCGGGAACATGATGACCAAATCCGCTACAGGAAAACACATGATGCGTGGGGTAAGGCAAACTGATTACGGCGTGGATATGGCCTATACATGCTTGACCAATTATGGGATCAGAGTGCAAAAGAGAAGGACCGCAAGCCTTACTTCTAGATGGGTGTAGGAAGAAGGCAAACATCACAACGGAAGGCTGCTGGGAGCAAAACCTGGGGGATTGCGTCTCCCTTGTAACCAAATACGAGCTGAACCCATCGATACGAGGATGAGGCTTTGAGCAAAAGGCTATCGCTTGTAGACGTAGTGAGTTTATGGGGTGCATAGTGTCAGGAGTGTCTGAATGGGAAGTGGACGAAGAAGAGGGAGAAGAGGCCTGCAGCTCCCTACGGACATCTCTTTCGGGGCTAGTCGAAAGCTCCAACCTCACCTCCCACGCCTCCCTACCTTTCAAACCCATCCGCATCCCTTTTTATCATCACTCTTCATCCACTGCATTTTCAACATCGCTACAGCCATCATATTCTCCGCACACGAACCTGTGGGGGTGTAGCCTTCCGGTCAGCGAGGCTTTCCGCAACACACTATGACTGGGCGTAATACCCCACGCCCGCTCGTCGTAGAAGCCTCACTCCTCTTCGTTTCTGTCGCCTTCTTGATGCCTCGACTTACCCCGCAGATGAGCCTTCTTTTAGCTCTTTCTTAATTTCCGTTTTTATAATGGGCTGCATGATCTTTTGTAAGCAAGTCTTGCTCGACGTTCACGGGAACGCTGGCCTCGTTGCCTTCATCGCTTCACCCATCCAATAGGAGACCACGGAGCACCCCATTAGAGCAGCCTCGTGCCATTTCCGGCACTCATAAAGAGGCGTCAAGAAGACATGCGTACCATGAATCAACATGCGTTACTCATGGGCCTATTTTCATCCCACCCTCTGCCATCCTCTGCTTACGGGGTGTAGCCATGCCCTGGAAGTCTATAGCAGGGCGACCACTCTCAGGAGTTTATTCGGAGGCGGGATCTTTTTTAGAGGCCGAGAGACAGTTTACAGTGGTCGAGGCGTAGTTCCCAGGCTGTTCGATAGCCCGCATGAATCAATGTGCGGAATTATCACTGACCTGAATTAGATGGAGACTTTATACAAAAGGCTCGACGATCTCTGTTGTCTCTGGACCATCCAACCTTCTCCCTCGAATCCTTTGACTTGAGAGAGTTGAACTATACATTCCAATTTACTCAGCTCATGCAACATCAATCCTTACTTTCACTTTCTTGACCTTACTTTTATCGTCTCACAGTTCGTTTACACCCTCTGGTGCTGGCATCGCCTTTTTACCTCGGCCAAGGATCTGTACTCCAAGTGAACACCATGCCTGATGCGGAATCGTCTAACAGTGGATCTGTTTACGAACCCGGATCTATGTCCAGTACTCCACTTTCCTCGCATCACGGCTCGGTTGATACCGGCTTGATGGACGCCGAGCGGGACTGCTACTTCAATGGAGATCAAACGAAAGAGGCTGACCAGACTCCCACCAACATTGAGACCGAACAGCCCGACAATGACTTTGACAGACCACGACAGTCGTCCACAGAAGAGATTTACGGCGATGTTCAACCTGATGAACTTTTTCGACGACGCACATCTCAGATATCTAGCTTGCTCGACGATGAATTTGTGGACCCAGATCAGGATCTCAACCCCACCGACGAGAAATTTGCTCGAGCAAAAGTCCAGCAGTACTCAAAGTACATCCATCTGATGGAGGATCAGCCTGCGGGGCTTCTCGAAAAGATCCGAGAGCGGGTGGGAATGCTGGAATCCAAGATAAAAAAACTGGAGAAAACAGAAAGGAAAGTTGCCGCGAGCAAGCCAAAGCTAAGAGAGCCACACAAGCCTGCCATACCAGAGTTGCACTTCGTGAAGTGGTTCGACTTCAAGCACAAGTATGAAGAGGACAAGGACCCTTACGCCATTGAAGTTCTTGTGGGGAGCGCGAGGTTCTTTTATCACTACAAGACTGACGAGCAAGTCAGAAAGTACGTCGCTAGAGGTGGTGTTTACGAGATTGACTCGCAGCCTCAGGCCGAAAGAGCGACCTGGACTCCAAATGCTATTGAAGAGATGCCAGAGCGTATCAGGATCAACTCTCATCCGCTTCTAGCTATCTTGTCTCACATTGCTTCGAAAGACTGGAGCCTCCGCCCGCGCGTATTTTTGCAACCTTTCAAGATGTTTGTGCACTATGACAAGCAGATCAGGGACTATCTCAAAGATCTTGAAGGAAAATGGGCAGACCCGAAACGGCCTATTCGTAGAGTAGTTGAGAGCATGGAGGCTCAGTCAAATGGACGCGACGACAATCAGGCCAAGTTTCCGAAAGCAAGCCAGAGCCGAGTGAGACCACGTCTTACTGATACCGCTTTCATCGGCGTCAAGGGCTCGGAAGGCCATGAGGACACAGCCGCATATGACCTTGCGAATCTTCTGGACAGTCGAGAAGCACTTCTCGACCTTCGCTGCCTCGTAAGGTTCATGGACAGATATCTCGCGCCTGTCTTGAGGCGTTTCGATAATGCTTCTCTGAAGAAAATAGAGTTTGAAGACCTCTGGTATGTGCATCCAAGTTTGATTTTATTTTTCTTGAGGTATTGACGGATCTATCATTACAGGTATCTCTTCAAACCTGGGGATGGAGTCTATGCACCGGCACCAAAAGTCAATACAATCGCGATGATGGGCGACAGAACAGCACCAGAGAAGTCTAGAAGGTCCAATAGATATCAAACAGCTTGGCGAGTCCTACATGTCAGCGGCGGGCGGTCTCCACTTACGGCGGATGAAGAAACGAAGCCTTTAATGGAATCCCGACCTCATGACTTCACCATGATATGTTATTATCTCGACTTCAATGGTGCCCAAATTGGGCCAGCTGTCTGCAGTTTCGTCATCAAGCCTTTTGAAAGCGCGGTCGACATCACTTCCCTCGAAGTATTCCCTTGGAGATATGCGCCAAAAGGCCCAGCGATACGCGAGAGGCTCCGAAAGGAGGGCGAGCTATTCCGCGAGTACATCGATACTAAACATCTCCATTACGACGGGACGTCACTCACACACCATCCATGTGGCAGGCCGGTTCAAGTTGAAGGCATCGCTAACCATCCTGAGGCGATCGAAGGCCAAGTGATCGTTGGGTTTGAGGAAGGCATGCAAATTGATCCTGGATGGCTTTCTCCGATTGGATTTCCTGACGATCTTCCGGTATATTCCAGCGAGGTAATTGAGAACTATTCGGTCCGGCTTTGGACAAACAGGGATCAAGTCACATCCACAGACTCATGGAACGACACAATACATCAAGACTATCAAATTGACAAGCTACGCCACAGCGAACTTGTAGAATCGGACCCATTCTTGAAAGCCTGGGAGAGTCGGTTTTTCAACGACGATGATGTTGAAGTGGAACAAGAGCTTCGAGATGAAGACCTTATCCTCCTGCCAACACGGGTGCTTGCATACGTCTTTCGTGAACGAAGGTTTGCCTTGTTGAGGCTTAGTCAGCTTCACAAATGCAAAGCGGATTCCGACGGGTTCGCAAACCTCAAACTCTTGAGAGGATATAAGAAGATGGTCAAGTCTCTCGTGCTGACCCACTTCATGAAGAAGAAGGTTACGCAGAGCTTTGGACGCAGTAATTCTATCGACTTCGATGTCGTTCACGGAAAAAGCAAAGGACTTGTTTTTCTACTCCATGGTGTTCCAGGAGGTATGTATCACACTGCTTCGAGCTCTTTGCCCACGCTAGTCGCTCACATGTATGCAGTTGGAAAGACAAGTACCGCTGAGTGTGTTGCCGAGGCTACTGGAAAACCTCTCTTTCCAATCACTTGTGGTGATCTGGGGCTGGTAATTTCGCATTGAATATCTTCGGGTTGAACATATTGCTAATTACTACAACAGACGCCCGAGCACGTTGAGAAAACTCTTCGTGAGATATTCCATTTAGCACAACTATGGGATTGTGTGTTGCTATTGGACGAGGCCGATATCTTTCTGGCTCAAAGGACTAGGACTGATTTGAAGCGGAACGCTCTAGTCTCAGGTTAGTACAAGACAAGTCTTTCAACTAGATCTTTATGCTAATGAATCAGTGTTCTTGCGCGTGCTTGAATACTACTCTGGGATACTTTTCCTTACCACCAATAGGGTCGGAGTGATCGATGAGGCCTTCAAGAGCAGAATCCACGTAACACTGCTGTACCCGGAGTTGACCGAACGACAAACGCAGGCAATCTGGCGAATGAATCTAGACCGCCTCAGGAAAATTGATCGCGAGCGAGCCGAACGGAGTGACGACCCCGAAATGATCATCGACGATACGGCTATCATGGACTACCAGAAGCGCCACTTCCAAGAGTGTCGCAAAATGAATCGGTCCTGGAATGGACGGCAAATTCGGAACGCATTCCAGACAGCGTCTGCCTTAGCTCTTTTTGACGCCCACCAAGCGAACATTAGCAAGCTGAATGATGAAGCGGAAATTGAAAAAGCGGTGCCAGTCCTGAAAGTTGAGTACTTTGAGAAAGTCTCAGTAGCCTCATCCAACTTTGATCTCTATATCTCTGAAGCTGCCGGTGTTGGTGGAAAGAGTGAGGGTGAACGAGCAAGGGACCGGGGAGATCGCGCGGACCATTTGCGTTTCAGTGGCGGTGCTCCTCTCGAGCCAGGTACAGAGCTTCGATCGACAGCCTCCAACAATGTCAACAATCGCAGAGTCTCCGGTGGACAGGACAGCTTCCGCGGCCCACAAGGGCCTCCGCCACAGTACTCCGGACTCAACGCTCTTCGAGAGCAAGGGAACTCAGGCTTTGGTTCGCCTCCACGGGGTGCTTCTGCCCAATTTGGCCCCTCCTCCAACTATTTCGATCCTCGTCAAGCCCCCAGCGGTGCGGGCATGTACGACTACTCACAGCCGCCTGGCATGCCTGTGCCACACCCTTCTCGCCAGAACACCATGCATGATTTCGACGAAGATGATGACGAGTAATAGGATTTCCCCGGGCTTCAATTTGGTTGACCGACTTCGCCTTTTCTGTCAGTACTTCTTTGGATTGGCGCCTGCTGGACAGGATATATACACACACGGATTCGGCCTTATTTTGGTATTTTCTGGCCATATGTCTTTCAAACTTTGGACGAGCTCGACGAGGTACTTACAAATTGTCAAATAGCACTATTTAATCCAATTCACAGTAGTGTACCCTTTTGGACCCGTTTTAGTATCCTCCTACTGGTCTTCTTGGAACCTGATATAATATTTGTTTATCATCGTCAATGTAAGTGGCCTCAAACTACTGCACTACTAACATGGCTCCGTCAGAAAATGATCGCGGTAGACCACATCTCTGAAATTTCCTACGAAGTCCGGCGGCACTCCAAGGGCTCTTTTGTAAGCGGCATCGAGCGCTAGTGACGGATTAGTGAAAGCGTCAAGATTTAGACGCGGCGAGACGAGCGAATGGGACCCTTGCGTCAGAAATTAGTCCCGACGTCAGGATATAGTTCATATTCTGACCATTTTGACGACTCGAGAGCGCAGGGACGGGCATAGCATCTCCAAACATTAGAAATAGCCCTTGACTATTCAAAATCAAGACAGGTGGTCAAATACCACATCGTTCAACGGTTTTTATTCCACAAACCACTTCATCCAATATCCCCATCCATTATAACTCTGACGTTCTCAATTCCAAGATGTCTTCCACAAACCCAACAATCCTCATAGTCCCCGGCTCGTTCTCACCCCCATACTTCTACACTCCCATCTCCGACTCCCTGCGCGCAGCTGGCTATGACACCTACGTAGTCTCCCTCCCCTCAATCGGCCGCAAGCCCGGCCCTGCGCCGACCATGCTCGACGACGCCGCCTACATCGCCGACGCGGTTACTAAAGTTGCCGACGAGGGCAAGGACATCCTGCTCGTCGCACACTCCTACGGCGGAATCCCCGCGACCCAAGCCGTCAAGGGCCTCGCAAAAGCGCAGAGAAAGCAAGCTGGAAAAACAGGCGGTATCGTGCGACTGGCATATCTAAGCGCTCTCGCACCGCTGATTGGCGGGACCGCAGGGACCGCATCAGAGGGGTGCGATTTCAGCTATTGTAGAATTGACGTAGGTTTATCCATTTGTGTCGAGCACATCTGAGTACCCGGCTAACCTTTTCCACTTCAAAGGGCGCCTGGATGTACCACGACATCGCGCCTAGCGCGACCTTCAACTTCTCTGACTTGCCTGAAGCCGAGGGACAGGCGTGGGTGCGGAAGTTCGAGAATCATTCCGCGGTTACGTTTGCGGGCGAGCTGACGCATCCGGGGTACGCGGACGTCGAGATCTCGTGGTTGATGTGTAAGGAGGATAAGACGATCCCGCCGAGCTTCCAGCAGGGGTTCATTGATGGGATTGAGAAGGCGACTGGGAGGAAGGTGGTGGTTGATGGGATTGAGACGGGGCATTGTCCGAATGCGAGTGCGCCGGAGAAGGTGGTGGAGTGGATTAAGAAGGCTGCGCAGGAGAAAGTGTGAGAGGTTGATGATGGCTGAGGTCGTGGAACAAGATTCTTGTAGAACGTGGCGGTCTACTCGAGTATTTGGCAGTGAACAAGGAGCGTCTGTTCTTCCTATCTTCCCACTTGTCGCACTTTTACTAGTGCCCATTCACTCCAATCCTTCGGGTCCGTAACAAAGCAGATACCCCCACTTCTCTGCCCAAGGCCCCTTCTTTAGCTTCCACGACTGCGGATCCCAGCTCGCACAGCCCGGAGTAATAGTAAAACTGTCCATCGTGAATAGATCCTGCAAAAACTCCTCGTCGTCTATGATCGGACTCATATTGATCATGTTGTCCCGCATTTTGGGAAACGGGAAGCGGTCGATAAAAAGCGCATGGTAGTTGAAGATCTGCGTCGAGGTTGGCTGGAGAGGTATTGGTATGTCTGCTGATTGAAGTTTAGACTTTCCAGGTAGCACGGTACTGCAGCTTAAGCCCAGTACTTTGCCATTCATGAACATAGCGGAGAAGACTGTGAGTTGGACGGCGGGCGGCTGTGCTGTGAAGGTCATGGGCGGTACGACTTCTATATTCTCGAGATACCTGTAAGGGGAATCGGAAGAGAAGTCGGTTGAAAGCTCTGTGGGCGGTGTCTGGTTCGAGGATTGCTGCAGCGTCGATACGGTCTCAACTGCTGTAGCTAGGTCCGGATCGCATGTTGCCGAGAGCCAGTCACAGGTCGAGCTATGGTCCACAGTTGCACAATTGGAAGCGCTACTATCTTGTTTCTTAGCTTCCCTGGCTTCTCTCAGTCGTTTTCCTATTACAACATGGTTAGTATGATGTGTAGGTATATCACGATGCTCGAAGACAAAGCGCTCGCTTCGACCGAATAGATACACCATTGCCGAGATATCAAGTCGAATGCCACCTAGTGACATGTATTGAAATCACTCACTACGTGCTCTTTGAGCTAGCCTGTCCTGTATCTGTTTCCGCTCCCGGGGGTCTGTAACGCCATGCCAACAATCCGGGCGAGACCCGTTCATTCTCACTGACAGGCCTATAAAGACAGTATATCTTGCTGAAATAGTAACGGTGGCTTTATTCTTAGTAGTGAATGTCTACAGTAAGAACGCCGTGTTCAGATTCTCTCGGATATTTGCTTAGAAATCAGCAGCGGTGATAGGAGGCTAGACCTAGATAGGAAAAGTCATTTTAATCTGGAGCTTCGCCCGGTAGCTTCGTCATAGTCGTTCATGGTATCCATAATGATGTTCCTCTGACAAGTGCTCGAGTATTTCAGAGCTGCTTATTTATACATCGCCTTCATCCTTCAGCACAACATCATCAACCCTCACACCCCTCGCTGGCCTAACCTCCTCCGCCTCTACCACAGTTTCGATACCCGCCGGCGAGCTCTCCTCTTCACCCCACGGCAGCGAATCGATATCAATCTCATCTGACCTCCCTAGCAAACACATAACTACGACCTTCGCGCCGGCTTTGCTCATCACCGAGTTCGCCTCCTTGCAGCGCTCACTACAACAGCACTCAAAGCAGCCTTCGAGGCAGTGGCATTCCTGTAGCCGCTCGCAAGCTTGCTTGAGCAAGAGATGCACAAACTCAAATGCTTTCGTAGAGATTCCGCTTCCGCCGGCTCCGCCCTTAGCATCGAAGAAGGTCAGTCGAGCTGGCCGCTTGCGTGCGCTTGGCTTCTGCGCAAACTCCTTGATCGCGACTTTGCACTCGGTGCGGACGTCTCCAGGCATGCTAATGACATAGTTAGGCATGAGTGACATGACTGCGTGTTCAGCGCCATGGATTGCGGCAGCGATGTTCAAGCGACGTTCGTTGAGGATATCTAGGGCGCGCTTGGGCACATCAAGCCACATGCCCTTGCTGTAGAGTATAATGGGAGGATTGTCGACCTCAACGGCGTCCAGGATGCGGCGCTTGCGGTCTAATTTGAAGTATCCGTAGACGACTTGCTTGATCTTTATAGGACCAAAGTACGCACGTGAGCGAGATCTGGGGATACTGCGGATGGCCTCAGTTTCAACAGGGTCAATGTCCGTGAAGTCGCGCTGTTGCGTCGTCCAGTCAACTTTGACGCGCTCTACCTTCGCAATCATATGGTCTTGCGAGAACTCTTTGATAAGATACGTCCTACCCTGGTGCAGGAAGATGCCACCTTCGTAGAGTGTGAAGAAAGCGCGAGAGGCTTCGAGTTCTTCGAGGACCGTGTTAGCATTGTTGGTAATGTCGATGATCGCGAAGTGTGTGTCTTCGGTGTCGCGGATGGCGACGGTGCGGGATGGATAGGGGAGGAAGCGTTCGTTGCAGTGATAGAAACCTTGAACGTCTTTTCGCATGCGTTCTTTGGCGATAGTAGCAAGATGCGGCCCGAACCACTTAGTGTCTTCGTCAGGTTGGATTGGCATTTCGTGAGCGGCGCATTGAATGTGGCCCTCTAGTACCAGCATGTTTTCAAGGTCTACTTGAAGCTCACAATTGGGTTTTGTAAAGATCTCATCCGGATTGGCCTGAGTGATGCGTCTTAGTACATAGTCTTTTCCTGATTGAAAAGAGAAAACATACCATGTAGTGTTGATCGGTGGGAAAGCAGTCGCCAATAAGAACAGACAACGAGTCCTTGTTTCTTCGTCCAGCCCGACCACTTTGCTGGCGGAGGTTTGAAATAGTATAGGGAAAGCCAACAGTAATGACGGCATCCAGAGAGCCTATATCTACTCCTAGTTCAAGTGCGCTAGTACCGACGATGCCCACCAGCTTGCCTTCGAACATCTCTTTTTCAATCTGCCGCCTATCTTGTGGGGTATATCCTCCTCGATACGACATCACCCTTGCCATTACCTCTGGACGCTCAAGATTAGTCAATTCCGTCTTAACTGCAGCAAGAAGCACCTCGCATTGTTTTCGAATCTTTGCGAATGCGATGACTCTGACACCACGTAGAATAAGCTGGCAGAACAGTTTTGCCGCCTCTTCCATTGTATTGCCTCGACCCGATGTAGGATCGGTCGGGTCCTTGAATGGTGTGTTCCAGCAGAGAAACTCTTTTCGTCCTGAAGGCGATCCATCGAAGTCTGTAAGTTTGACTTCTTCGACGCCGAAAATAGTCTTCATATGCTCCTCCGGGTTAGCAACGGTAGCTGAACATGAGATGAATTTGACATGGCGATTGCCAACGGCGGCACATACTCGTCGCAGACGTCTCATGATGAAGGCAACATGCGACCCGAAAAGGCCGTTGTAAACGTGTAGCTCGTCAACCACGACAAATTTGAGATTCTGGAGAAACGTTCTCCATGTGTCTTCCTGTGGCAGAATGGTGATATGGAGCATGTCTGGATTCGTGAAAATGATTCTGGCCTCATCGCGGATAAGATTTCGTTCCGTCATTGGCGTATCTCCATCAAAGGTATCGACCAATATGTCTTGTAAGCTTCCCATGAAACGAAGCAAGTCCTTGAGGCTCCGACGTTGGTCCTGAGCTAGCGCTTTCGTTGGAAAAATATACATAGCTCGAGTGTTCGGATCCTGCTCCAGCTGATGAAGTACGGGCAGCTGGTATATCAGAGACTTCCCAGAGCTCGTCGATGTTGACACAATAACGTTATGGCCATCGTGCAGGTTGTTTATTGCTTCGGCCTGATGTGCGTATAGCTGGGTAATGCTACGGGTATTGTAAAGCGCGTTCACCATATTCTGGGACATCTCAAAATTCAGGTCGCCGTAGACTGCGGGCTGTGGGTCAAACACTCGGTGCCCATCTGGAACGATCTGGCCGGTGTACCACTCGAGGGTCTTTATATCAGATACAATTTCGGGAATCAATTTACGCTCCTTCGGTATGGTCGGTGGTAAAGGAGCGCGAGGGTCTGGACCCGGGGTAGTTCCTCTACTTTCTGAAGGTTGCGGTATACAGAGGGCTAGCTCATCCTGAAGCCTGCTAACGGGGTCGACGTTGTCCTCCGCGCATTGATTCAGGAAGGCATTGACAGCGGATGTGAATTTCTTATTACGCTTCTCGATGAGATTCATCATCTGCTTTTGACTGAATACTGGCATCTTCAGTTCCTCTTGCCGTAGATTATGGGTAGCTTTCGTTGGCTCTCCGGTCTTGGCATGTTGAACTTGCCGCTTGAGATCACCGTCGATGTACTCGAAAAGGAGGACCTCCTTGTTCTCATTGGGTTCCTGCTTCGAAGGTTCAGGTACGATGAACTCTTTCGCTCTTCTTCCCGCTGAGCTATCCTCGGAGCCCATCAGATTGACCTGAAGCATGGCCTCGTCCACGTAGACGAAGTTGATTGCCCATGGAATCAAAGCCTTGATCTGCGCTACATCTTCCACGAGTAGCTCCCGCTTTATGTGTCCCTCTACGGTTGACTTTATGTTGTCGAAAGTTGTCGCAAGGTGTTTACGCGTGCAACAGAAGGTATAGACGAGATTCAACGCGCGGTGGGTTTGGGCGAGTCGTGTGAGTTGGTCTGGCCACAAAATGGAGGATTCGACGATGGTAGAGGATGTGCGGCGCACCAGTGACGGAGCTGAGCCATCTGTTTTCGCTTTCGGTGTTCTTCTCGGCTTCTTGCCTCCATCGTGTGTTTTGGTGGGAACCGTAGACGTGGTTGAGGATGGGGTCAGGGATACGGTCTCGTCCGGCGCGGGCTGCGATGCTGCTTCTGCATGAGTATCCTCGGTGCTCTTCCTCTTTCGCTTCCTCATCACTTGTCTCGAAACCGTCGCTCCTTGTAGTGTGGGCATTGCGCATGCATGTTTGCTGTAACGGTTGTTGGAAGAAGAAGCCTGATGAGATGATGTCTATGACGCGAGGTGGACGCCACTCTCCTAGATTTCCTCCTTTACAAATTCACGCACAACCACACCGTCACCGTCAACCCATCTCAAGAGGCTGGTTATCTCATATTCAAGCGTTCGTCTCGCATCTATGTACGTTACGTCGAATAGTAAGTCTTTCTTGAGACGCGGTCTCACGCTGTCACGAGATTGGACGGGCCTTGGCAGAATCCCCCAGCCTCATTATTGTGAAAACTTCTTCCTCAAAACACCCGACACTCCAATCCATTGAATTCGCGATTTCTGTTTCACCCTATCTATCTCTAGAGGTGTCCGCCCACAAATCAGAGCCGCCGAAGGCCATTGGGGACGCGGCCTTGAACGATCATGAAAAAGTAACAGGTATAGGAAAACTTCAGTGGCTTCAGTGCCATTACAACGTGTCACATATATATTCTCCGATCGCTAAATGCCTCTCGACCATCCATAAACTTTCTGGGGTGCTTAAAGCAACCTAGAAGACGTGAAAAAACATGAAAACGAGGCTAATGACTGCATATTTAGGACCACTAGATCCGAATACACGGACTTTCCTATGCTTTCTACGAAGTTATGTATGGTAGGAGATATGGAATTTTTTGTGTAAGAATATCTGCGGTCGATATCAGGACGATTCGAGGATAAAACGACAACTTTTGGGATACTTTCGACCACAAGGGACCACAGGTCAATTAATGCCAACTACTCAATTCAAGGAGCGGACGGGTCTAGTGTAATGCCATTAATTCTGTGGGCAGGTTATCCAGACCTTCGTTCCATCTACTAAAAAAAGACTCTAAAACGTCGTCCACGTCTTGGAGGAGACTTCTCCTCAAGACCTTTACCTCTTCCAGCTCTTCATTGGATAGGTCATACGGGTGTGTCTCTGTAACGTTGTCTGAAACAATGTGAAGGTGTCCAAAATGAACGTTTCCTTCTAAGAGGCATTCTCTCGCCATGTGTCCCACCTCGCAATCCACCCATTCGCCCCAGCTTCTCCACCGATGGAGCCACGCCATGCTTTCCACAAGCGGCGAATATACATTGATATGATCTCCTTGGAGAATCCTTCTCGATTGCGATAGATCTGCCTGTAGAACATTTCTCCATTCCACAGTATCCATTTGCAACCCGGTTGAATTCGCTGAAACATCTGTAGTTTGCTTTTCTGCGTCGATATCAATGTCGTTGGGTTCTTGCACAAGACTCTTATTTCCTGTCGACAACCACTCATTCGGGCTAACCCGTGGATTAAGGCTGCCTCCTTTTCCTACGTAGATGATACATGTGATTTGGTTCAAGGTTCTGAGTGCGTGGATTAGGTGTCTCGAGATGTCTCCCCAAAAGCTCGGCATGCAACCAAGTAATGCAGCTGTAGCTCCACTTGGCAGTCGAATCTTATGCCAGGCGAAGATGTTCCTCGAGCCGCTTCCTTCCCAAGTAGAAGGAGGAGGTATTGACCGACTCCGCTTCAGGAGGTGATGAACATAACCCACAATAACACAATCAACCTTTCCCATGCTTTTCAAATTTGAGTTCAAAAATAACTCAAGACACTCTTTTTCTGAGGGTAATTTGTAGTGCACTACATTGGGTTCTTTCTTTGTCAACAATAAATATACCGCAATGAGCTTAGCATAATGCCGGACATAGTCGCGGCCTGGGAAGCAATTGATAGCGATCGTATTATCATCCAAAATTGTAGCTGTGGGTCGATGGAAATTGAATGCTTTATCGGACTTTTCGGTATCTGCGGGAATGGCAGGACTGTCTCGTTCATAGCTTCCTCGAACGATGATGCGCGACCAGGATCGTCCTTTAGAACTAATCTCCTGATGGATCTTTGGTAGTACGTAGGCGTTCAAGGAATCACCCATTGTGTGATGGTTTAGGGCGAATATGTCCACGGGTACCCAGTCTCGTCCATCGTCCATATTTTCCCAGCTTTACCAGACGTTGCCGCTATAGTGGGTGGCAAGATACTTTTGGTGGGTGGCTTGATGGATTACTTTGGGCCCACAAAGTACGGTTGTATCCGCGGGAAGGGACTGTGAACCAGATTCAGGATCCTCTAGTGGTAGGAAGTTGCGGTATGGGTTTTGGATGGGATGTAAGGTCGTGGGAAATTCGTCGATTCTGAGGAGGCTCTACTTCGAAGAAGTAAGCAGCCGATTTGAGGCACCAGCACCACCGCACGTAGGTACGTGAAGGTCCGCCAGTTCACCGCCAGTAATTTTCAAAAAGGGACCACAGCGTAGCGTCGCATCAATATAGGAATACTAGCGTATCAAGTGAGGCAAGGTTGAGGTTGGTGGCGATGAGAAAGAGTCCTGATGTTGCCATGCACGATTTGTCGGGTGCAAAACAGCGCGCAATCCTTGGCGTGAGGTCTCTGCGCACCACACCTAAATTTGTTTGACAACCGGTTGGGATCCTACATAGAGAACTTGATATTTTTAACGCATCTTAACGCCGCCTAACTGAACAATTAGTAAGGCTATTCGCACTGTTGTAGAGGCCATATACTAACGCTTTATAGTGTTATAGTGCCCCCTAAAGCTGCCACCAAAGCCCCTAATTCGCGTATTCCTGCGCACTTAACGCGCAGCTCCGTCCGTGTTACGGTAGCCTCCAAGGCGAAGCCCCACAAGCGAGGCTGCCTTGGCAACGTCGGTTATAGGCCCCGCCAGTGCGGCATGGACCGGGTCAGTCCGGATCAGCCAGCATCCGAGAGTTCCGGGCGACCGCAGGATAAGGGCGCTGTTACAAACCCTAACACGAACCACCTGAGCGCTGAGGCACTCACGGAGACAAGTAAGCAGATCAGACTGATAACGCAAGGACAAGCCACAGGACCTCGAGGAACAAGGGTTGGGCGAATAGGGATCCTGGATTCCCCCACGGACTGCTGGTGGATGGGAACGATCTAGAAGACACGGAAAATCTCAGGGCAGGCCCATTCGAAAGGCCCCTTCGTCACGTGCTCATATAAGCGAGTTTTGTGAACATCATAAAATTAACACGGGGACCTCATGCCAAGGATTGCGCGCTGTTTTGCACCCGACAAATACCTCAACTCGGCCGCTTATTTCGCCGACCCTCTCAGCTGCAGGCTGAGTTATATTTTCTGTCAACACCTCTGTCAACTTTTACGGCTGCCCGCTGCTGTGATATCGTGGTAGTTTCAGCCTTATGCTAGAGTACATCTGTCAGTTGCAGAAATTAAGGGATTCCTCAGCAGCCATCGCACTCCAGCTAGGCACCTAGATACAGAATATAATGATTTCTTTCAACCCTGCTTTTTCTCAGCCAAAACCTAAAATCTTGAGAATTTCCCTTTGACGGGTCAGTAAACAAGGAATCTCCGCCCATAACTGTAAGACAACCCTAAGGCTGTAAGCACGCGCACCCACGATATTGTGGCGTTGTAGGACGTAGACTTTTGGCCCTTTTCCTATGCATCGTACCCACAGTGTATGGGGGCCAGCCTTGCTAAACCCTGTCTTCAGCTTTCATGCAGCCCGCCTTCCAGCGCGTAGCTGCAGTGCCGTGGATACTGATCGCCAATGAACTATGGACAATGACGGTCCTTGGCGACCGCACCGAAGCAATGGCGCAAGATGATCTCAGTGGGCATTGCGATTGCTGATACTTAAGCTAGAGGAAGCCCCTTAGCCTTAGAGAGGAGCCTGTTCCACCCTCTACCCTACACAAGGCTGAATCCTCAACAACTGATCTCTCGCCTGTAAGGCTTCGAAACCCTTACCATATTACCTGTTTCTCAACAAGAACATTTCTTGGCAACATGGCTGGACCTCAAACTGCTCAAGGATCGAAGCAAGCTCCGAAAAACATAGCCCCTGCCTCGGCGCTCTCACCGAAGGAGAACCCACCCGAAAGTACTTCTCCCCTTTCTCCATTGGAGGATCCCAATGTTATTCGTACAGTGAATTTTGAAGGGTTGGAATGTGATTCCGTGATCTGGAAATCGAGGTTGACTCCCAACTCAAGCTCTGCTTTTTAGCTTCGCTAACTGAACTTTTAGTGAGAACAAATGGAACAATGGCAAGGTGAACCTAGACACTGCTTTGTCGAAGAAGGTAGGCTGAGGCTATTCCATCACACTGTTAAGATACTGATTCGATTGTGTAGCGCGATGAGCGCTCCGATATTGAGATATAGTAGGTTCGCCGCAGTGTCTAACGGAATGAAGAGTTGACCAGATACTAGCTTCTTACCTACTATCAAGAAGCTCGTAAAATACCCCAGCATGACAGAGAAAATGTCGACGGAGTTCCATGTCCCCAGATTTTTTTGGACGCATACAGGATGGAATGCGAACGGTTTCTTCGGCAGCCATGAAGATCCGCTAGGCGAAAACTACGAAGAGAGCTTCGGTAAATAGCTTTTGTTATATCTTCCAAGATGAGTAATTCTGATAGAAGCAGTGTCGTATTCCCGATTCCTGGTCAAAGAGCTTCTGCTTTCGGATGCCGACAAAGACACCACGATAGGGGATCCGAGGGAACAGTCCAATACGGAGAGTCACAACGGTCCAAAAACCACAGTAAGCACAAAACCAAACAAAAAAACCGGAATAACTAATATCCGCGCAAAGGCACCTGCTGCGAAGAATACTGCGGAGGGTTATGGATACCAATGGCAGTTTATTGCTTTTTTTACTTTTTGGTTCTTACCGAAAGAGCCGGTAACAAAAAGGACAGAGGCGCCAAAGAGCGGATCAAAGCAAGTCGTCTTTTGCTTTGACCAGTCACCAACCATGAAACGTATGCTCAAGGATGCGATTGAGAAGTGTAGCACACCTCTATGCCAGGCCTGCCCTTATGGAATTTTCGAGCCCCTATTGTCAACGCTCTTTACGTATTATGACTGGGCACTGTGGGATTTTCAGAAACCAGTGCGAGACATTGAAAGGGTAAGATTTGTCGAGTATGATTTGTATATGGATTTGAACTCTAAACTTATTCTATCAAGGCGCGTGATGACTTCTCTGGACTAGAGAACTACAATCGTGCCGATATGTATATACGGTACGTCAAGATGCATGAGCTGGCTCGTCACATCATCCACTTGACCGAGACCCTTGGGGTAGGTGCGCGAACATTGAGAACTATGCGAAATGCCCATAGTGTACGTTGCAAAAGTGGAAAATCGGTCGGGCATTATCACCAGATACAAGGCGACCTCGAGTTCTATGAACTGTTCCTCCAGAATCTGCAAGCAAGGGCATCTGCTTTTGATCAGCGGCTGAATAACGAGATCAAATTGGTACGTGTGGCACGACATAGTGCCCCTTTGCTTGTATCTGAACTTGATTGTAACATTCATCAGGCTTTCAATCTCTTCGCTGCCGATGACAACGCTACACAAAAGGAAATTCTGAAAGAATCGCAGAATGACGGCCGGGATTTGACGAACCTAGTCGCCCTTTTGACACTTATCTTTCTCCCCGCCTCTTTTCTCACGGTAAATAAACCTGACAAATTGTTGTATTGTCTATGAAAGGCTTCTCACTTACTCCATCAGGGCTTCTTTGGAATGCACTTTTTCGACATAGAAAGGAGTCAGCCAGATCTATCGCATCCAAAGCGGCTATGGCTATACTTTGCCGTGGCTGGTCCCGTCTCTGCAGTCGCCATAATGTTATGGTACGGATTTCGTAAATGGAAGGCACAACTCCGGGGGATTGAAAACCAGAAGGCGCGGGGAACTCGAGCGAGACGCTCAAAGCCAAAGCAGGAGGATTTGGGCAACTTGAAAAGAGCTGAGAGTTGGTTGGCCCCACCGGGGCAACACAACAATAAGGACTTTGCGTTCGGAAGCAAGACATCGCCCTTGCCTCGTGCCAAATTGACTTCAAATTCACCGCCAAATGCATAGAGTCATGGGTTGTTAGGCGTTATATCTCTTCTTTTGTCGTCGTTTGTTATCGCATTTCTGTATGCATTGCATTCTGCAGGAAATGGATAACCCGTGAGAAATGACTACTGATACTGTCATCTCCGCTCATGTGGCTTTGTGATCTGTAATTTTCTAACAAATCATATGTGAATGTCGCTCCGCTTCGCTTTAGCAGCTTTCTCACAGTATAAGCTGGACATAGAAAGGGCGCGGCCAGGTGCATATTCACTTTCTCACCGGAATTCAGCAGATAAGCAGATAGCTATGTAACATTCCACGTTACCGAATCGTATTAGGTGGCCTTGCTCGTAGACTCTCGTGCCTATGCGTGTAGCCCCCTAGTTCTCTACACATAGGCTCTCCCCCCCAAATAGTAAGCTCCAGCTCGTAGAAAACATCATTCCACTAATCAGGGCGTTAGGATTCCGTCTGTAGGCTTAAGATATATATTTCAGGTAATTTACAGGCTAAATACAGATAGTGACGATGAAAAGCACAAGCCGCTTGACCCAAGACTACCCCCAGTACTCGTACCACACATTAGAAAGAATAATGAATTCAGTTAGTGGTGAGGCTTTTGTACTTCAAAACAGATATACCCATCCGTGTGCATAATTTTATCGCAATCCGAACCCGACGATTTGTGAAAGAGGAGGCTACAAACGAGATACATAGTGTCGCTGTATGGAAAGCAAATAGAGACATAGATCACCAAAAGCAGTCAGACGGGACCTCCATTGCAAACCAGTCTTCTCTGGCCACTCGGCGACGGCTGAGTGCTCCACTGCGTCTGACGGTAGACAGAACGCCCCGACATTCACACGTCTGACGCTCTCAAACATCCTCAAACCCCTCGACCACCTCCGCTCTCTCCACCCAGGCCACCACCGCCCTCGCGAAGAGGTCCGGGTCCTGCCTATTCCACGCATGCCTCATCCCCGCATGCTTCACCACCCTAATCTCTCCAGTCCCCGCTCCCTCTCTAGCCAACTCCACAACCCCCCTCGCATCCTCCACCCGATCCCCACTTGGCACAATCCCACTCTTCATCGCCGCAACCACCAGCATCCTCGCCCTCACCACGCCCACATTCTCCTTCACGCTCGCCGGCTCCAGCATCTTCAAAATCTCCGCACACAACGCTTTCGTGACGACTCCCTTTTGGGAGACGGGCAAATCGGCGTCGATTGCCCATTCGACGACCGAGCGTGGGAGGAGGTCAGTCGCGGACTGCATGCCCCAGAACACCGACGGTGCGATTGGGGCGAGGAATGAGGGTGATGGATCTCGGATGTTGAAGCCGGTCGCGAAGACGGTTGGACAGCAATCGGGATAGTGAGAGGCTAGATGTGCGGCAACGTAGGCGCCCATGCTGAGGCCGACGATGTGGGCTTTACCGTCATGTGCTTCGTTGGTGATGAGGGTGGCGAGATGGCTGGATGCGGACGCAACGGTGAAGGGGAGGGCTGAGGCGCGACCGTGAGCGGGGAGGTCAGGGGCTAGGATGTGATAGGTGGTGGTTTTCCGGAGGTGAAAGATCACTGGATCCCAGTCATGGCCGGTGGAGAAGGAACCGTGTATGAGGAGGATGGTTGGTTTGCCGGTTGGGTTGATCGAGTCAAAGGGAAGGCTCGTATTTGCTGATGGCGTGCTATCTGTATTCGCACCAGTAGACATTGTCATTCATAGAGTTTGAAAATGTGTCGGATAGTATGTTGATGTGGGTAGTTGGTTGGGTAGTTGGAAGTTGGATAGTCTTGTCGGCTCGTGAAATCGGGGATCTTAAAGAGCGGGGATTCGTGCTATTCTATCTCTAACAGGCCTTCATCCACGCATTAAGGCCGAGCGCTCCCACGAGCTATTAAGCACCTAGGCCTAGACTAGCCCCCGCCTTCATCTACGCATCAGGGTGAGCGATCCCTCGCCTTCATTAAAGCATTAACGTCGAGCGATCCCAGGCTCCGTTAGACATCGAGGCCCGGGTCAGCTCCAGCTTCACTAAAGCATCAAAGTTTGGGTTCATCCCAGCCGCTACCAAACATCAACGTCGAGCGGTCCCAGCATCCATCAAGGCATCGAAGCCCGATCAAGCAGAACCTAATTGAAACTCCAGTCGTCATCAAGCATCTAAGCTGAGCGATCTCAACCTTATTAAAACATCAAGGCTCAAATCCACTCCAGTCTTATTAAACCATCAAGACCCGTACTATTCCAGCATCGTCATCATGGCACCATTTTCCAGCCGCCGCAAGTTTGTCGTTGATTTAGAAGACGAAGAGTACGACGACGAGACCCACCATTAAGAGCAGTCGGACGAAGAGCAAGAAGACGACGAGACACAGGACGCAGGGGACTGATTAGATGAGCGCGATGGCCTTGTCGAAATCACTGCGCTGGCTACCAAAATGTAACGCTCCTTATTCGAATACTAGGACGACGGGTATGCGCAGCAGCTCATAGAGGATTTGGGCGACTCGGACAGCGAGACATGCTTCTCCTCTCATTCGTACAGGCTCCCCGACGTCGAATGGGAGTCGGAATTCCATCCAGCAGACGTCACCCGCCCACAAGCCAAAGCCGTCGTCGATTCCGCGCCATTCCTCAACTCTGTAACCGCGGTCGACTTGCCTCATAGCCCCTTCGCAAAATACCTGACTTCATACGTTGATTTCGTTAATGCGGTATTTAGCCACGAAATCTCCCAGGCGTGTTCCAAGGGTATGCCATCAACCAAACTCGGAGACGGCTATCAAGGAGACTGCACTACCCTAATGACCATGGATACACGCCTCTTGCACAGCATCATAAAAGGTGACCTGGCCCGACAGTATCGTCAAAATGCAACCATCAAGCTCATTCTCGACAACCTCTGGACCAATGGCCAATCGGCAATCCCAATCCTGCATCTATTCTACATGAACACGCTGGTATATCGAAACGGTCGGGGCCCCAATGCAGACGAGCTCAAGTAGTTTTCAATAGAGTTCAATTCGTCTCCAGAGGTACTGCAGCCAAAACTCTTACAACTTCCATTCAATCGCGTATCAAATCGACACAGCCTTCCCGAGCATTGAATGGGACCGGTCGTGGAGCAACCATGGCCGCCGACAGTACATGGAGAACTTCCAGGCCAGACGCGTTTCAATCCGGGCAAAGGAAGTCAAGTTATTCTGCAACAAGCTAGATCTCCATATCAAAAATGAGTCGTGTGAAGACCATCCGCTGCGAGAGATCGGCTACCCCGAAGACGCTGATGGCTGACTAAAATCACACCGCACTCACCGCAACTCCAACTTCCTCATGAACCTCGTCAACGCCATCTACACAACTTTCTTCACGGACCGCTTTCACATGGACCAGTACGTCATCCTCCACGTCTACACCTGCCGGATCGCGCGGCTGGAAGAGATCATCTTCACCCGCCTCGCGCAGGGGTATACAGATTCTGGCTTCGGGGTCTCGCATTACATAGCCGAGCGGAGCAACTCAAGCTTAATGAAGCCAATGGCGCTGGAAAAGGGCGATGTCCTCGCGTTGTATACTCCTAACTGCATTGACACCCCAGCCGTAACATAGGGCATGCACTGGGCTGGTGGCATCCTCACGCCTGTAAATCCGGGGTACACGATAGACTAACTCGCGTTCCAGCTTCACGATTTCAAGGCGAAACCTGTCGTTACCCAGAAATCGTTCCTGGAGAAGACACGTGCCGCAGCCAGGAAGGCGGGCATCGCGGACAACCGGGTCATCTTGATGGGTGATAAGCGCGATGAAACCCAGAAGTTCAAGCATTTCAGGGGTATGACCCGGTACCGAGAATCCAAAATCGACCCGAAGAAGGATTTGGCTTTTTTGGTGTACAGCTCCGGTACCACAGGGTAAGTTGCTTCCAACCCCGCATGCTTCTATTTTGGAATTTCGCGATATCATCTGCCGGGCGAAATACAAATGGATTGCTAATTCGTTAATAAGTCTGTACTGTGCCTGATCTATCGCTGACGACTTCTCCGTAGACTCCCCAAAGGTGTCATGCTCTCCCACGAAAATATCGTCGCGAACACCATGATGAATCAAGTTGGCGAGGGAAAGGACTTGAGTTGGAAAGGCGGATTTAACAACGGCGGGGATAAAATCCTGGCCTTTATCCCATTCTTTCACATCTACGTAAGACCCCCTCGATTGAAGTCGCACTCTGCCTCAACAATCACGACCTAAAACCTCGCAAATCTCAAACTAATGAAACCAGGGCCTAACTTGTCTCATCCAACACAGTCTCTTGCCTCGAGCTCGTCGTCATGACGAAATTCGAGTTGGACCGCTTCTGCCAAAACGTGCAGACCCGCAAAATCACCTACACATACGCTGTTCCTCCTGTCATCCTTATGCTCGGCAAATCTCCTATCATAGATAAATACGACCTCTCCAGCCTGCGCATACTAAAATCCGGCCGCCCCCCCTTAAAAAAAGGCCTCACAGACGCTCTCTACAAACGCCTCGGTATCCCTATCAAGCAGGGCTACAGCCTCAGTGAAACCAGCCCAACTACCCATATGCAGCACTGGGAAGACTGGCATGTCCACATCGGCTCTGTGGGCCGCCTTCTCCCAAACCAAACCGCAAAATACATCCATGACTTCGAAATCGAAGTCCCCTTTGGCGAAACCGGCGAGCTCTGCATTAAAGGCCCAAACGTCTTCCAAGGCTACCTCAACAACCCCGCCAGCACCACAAACGCGTTCACACGCGACGGCTACTTAAGACCGGCGACGTCGGGCACCAGGATAAAGATGCCAATCTACATCACGGACCGCGTGAAGGAACTCATTAAGTACAAGGGCTTCCAGGTTCCCCCGCCGAGCTCGAAGGTATCCTCCTCGGCAACGACGACGTCGAGGACGTCGCTGTCATTGGCATCTATGAAGAGGAGAGCGCGACGGAAGTCCCCCGCGCCTACATCGTCGCTAAAAGAGGGCAAGTTTGTTGTTCATCGAATCGCCAGGAAACAGAATAAAAGCCCTGCCCTCCTTCTTTACAAGCTTCTTCGTCTCTTGCATCTTCGTCTTCGTTGGGTAGATACATAATTGTGATGTCTGCACCTCCGCGAGCCAGTAAAACGGCGACGAATCTTCCAATGCCAGAACTGACACATTGTCAGGTTGAGATGGATCAAATCAGGGACATAACGCATTTTCTCCGCCCGTGATGATGCCTTCTTTTCCTTCAATTTGCCTGCTGGTTCGTATTCGACAAAGCCATGGGCTTTTCGAAGGCTGTCGGCTCGCTAGTCGGTTTCGGATCTCTGAAAAATAATGATTGAGCTGCCTATTAAATGAAAATACCTGCCATTGTGAATCCTAAGATTGCGGCTTCTGGACCGTCTTGAACTCGCTCCCTCGCCTCCTTTTGCATCTGTCATGACGTCGAAACTAGATTTTTTTTTCTAAAATAGTTGACTGCATTGAGGCGGTGAATGTTTTGATGGAGAAACAGAAATGAAGTTTTAGGAAATAATGATTTGAAGTTTTATTGGTGCGAAGTTGAGGTCGTGTGGCTCTGGTAGTCGAGACTCGTCTACATCATCATGACGACCTCGCAACGTCACGTCCCCATATCAATAAAACATCACCCCAACAACATGAAATTTCGAAATTGATAAAGAATCAGATCTCGAACGAAAGGAAACACATCACGATGAGCGACATTCAATCGAAGGAAGGCAAGTCGATCAATGAAGGCGACCATGTCTACACCAAGATTCGCGGCGGCCGACATGAAGGCGATGTGAGTCTCCCTTTCCTTCAGTAGATGTGGTTTCTGAATTTCCATAAAAGGTCGAAAAAATTGTGACTACGGCGGATGAGGCAGCAGCCGAGGGAGTCAAGAATCCGCCAAAGGTTCGAATACAAGTATCACCTCCAGCGGTGTCAGAATTGATGTTGAATTAGGTGCTTTTTACCGATCAGAAGGGCAAGGCTGTTGCTCACAATCCGGAGACCCTCGAAAATATGAGCGCGGAATAGAGAGTACAATTATTCTTCACTATTCCCCCTTGTCTTGCAGACTTGGAGCTATGAGATTACCGTCACAAACCTGCTTCTTTTGTCGAACTGGCCCTGGTGGTCAATCAAGCAAGCTTTGCTCTTCGTAGTTGCTGGTAATCAAAATGCTGGTAGACTTTAGCCGCCACAAAGATAAAAATCTGGTTTACAAGGCGACTCAAACTCATGTAATTGTGACTCTTTTGGAGCTTTAGCTCATGACACAATTGCGATTGAAGTGGTGTTCACCTTTGACCTGAAGGTCCAGCACCCTTATCGCCATCTCTGCATCTTCATCCGTCTCGCACACCAATATCCTCGGGCAGTTATTGGCAAATAGAGAGCAAATCACCGCTTCCTCTCTCATTCTTCTCCCTATCAATCTCAAACCCCAAACATTTCACTTTCTCAACAACAGCAGCCCTCAGGCGGCTACTAGCCTCACCAATGCCACTGCAAACACAAGCGCGTCCACTCTTCCCTCCAACACAACCCAATAAGCGCCAGCATAATGAACGATTCTGTTGACGAACGCCTCAAATGCAAGCCTCGCCATCTCGTCCGCATCCACCCGCGCAATCTCCGCAAAGTCGGCCGTGTTGGCGAGCGCCTTCCAGCCCGCGCGCGTGTTGAGCATCTCCTCCGCTTCGGTGACATGAAGTCCCTCCGCACTGCCGCTGCCAGAAGACGCCGCATCGGAAGCGCAGTGGAACACTAGGCTGGGGTCGACGACCTGGTCGAATACAGGGCCCAAAATTTCCAACGAACGGCTCAGTCTCGACTCAGGATGCGCTCATCCCAGCACAGCCATAGCTCAGGCTGGAGCAGGAGCAGCTCAGTTCCCTGAACGGGAAAGGAATTTGCTTAGATACACATTAGAATGTCCATTTACCTATTATCCTTTTGACGAGGGTGCAATTTTGGCCTCCAATCCTCACCCTCGAAGCCCAGATGCGCATATTGGGCCTCTGTCAAAAGGATAGCGACAGATTCTTGATGCACTGAACCACGACTCTAAGATGAAGTGCTCAACACTTTATAGTCATTTTCCAAAGACTTGCTGCTTCTGGAAATGTGTTAGCACGTGACGTTTTGAGATAGTACTTTTCTCGCCTCCATCCTCTTTAAAACCTGCACCATCCGTCCTATTAACTGCTTCACACCACCCACCCGTCTGACACAGTAACCCATTGTAATTTCGGTGCTTATGGCCTCTATTCACCCACATGAATGTCGATGTCATGTTCATCCAGATCCCAGGAATGTTAACACATCCCTCATATACCGAGCCTGCATAATCATCTCTTATTCGGGACAATTCATTACCGCCCGTGCGGCCCCTGGCAAATCGCAGTACAAGACCGCGATTCTAAAATCAGAACTCTATCGATCCATCATGTTAGGATCGGTCGCGGGGATCACGGCGGAGTCTTCGATAAACTCGAAACGAGGGCAGATATAAAGCTAATCAAAGCCAAATATATAGGCTTTTGCTATTAATTGTTTATATCCTAGTAAGCAATTAACGGATACCCGGCTTTTAATATTTCTAGAAGACGTGTGGAAGTTGCGGCTCGGATGGAGCGCAATTTGGAGATGTTAAGGAGATATAGTTTTAACTTAGGTGGACGAATACAAAGGTAGGTGGGTGGAGGTATAAGAAGTAAGTGCGATCTTCTCGTCCTTTGCTCTCTATCGCCTCCTGTCTTCAGTCGTCTTATAGGCATATTTATAGCGTCATGTTGTTTTGCAATTAGGTTTTAATTAACACGCGTTGTTGCGCTTTCTCTCCATCCTCCTTATGCCACAGCCTAGCAGCCATGCGAATTAACCTAGGAAGTCCATCCCTCGCTACCATTAAAGAAGTGCACGTTGGCAGGGGGTTGCGTCTTAGTTAATTCTTCCATCGTGCTGGATTCGAATTACCGATGGCTGTATAATTTAGGTGGGTATACAAACTGTGTAGGTACTGCGTTTGACCCAGAGTTCTGCCCTAACGTTGAAAACTGCGCGGCGAATTGCGCGCTGGAGGTGGTTGACTACGCAAGTACTTCGTATACTAGGTCTCCCGGTTGAAGTACAAGCGGCTGACGGCCTGTGTGGAAGCAGATCTTCATGCGTGCGGCGGCGAAAGCGATTAGAGAAATTCTGTTCCTGGCTCGCCGCCTAATTAAGTATACTAGACTAGATAACACTTTAGTAAGTTTTAAATAAAAAGCTCTAACTAAGGATTAAGAATCTTACTATCGAATTAAATAAGTCACCGGCTGCAACGGCTGCGGTTGCGTTGGAAGCAGTAACCCAAAGCATTTCCCAACTATACTTAGAAAAGAACGCTTTTTAGAAGACCTTTATCCTAAGCTAGATAGTTGCGGATATTATTAACTTTTTTAAATAGTCTTAACCTTACTAAACTCTTACAGAGAATAACGCATGCTGCACCTAACTTACTAGTTCTAGAAATTAGTTCGGGCAAGTATAGTTTGTTATTCTATATTCTAGAGCGCCTTATACTTAGAGGTGCTTGACGGAAGATATCGCGGGTTTTGAGAAAGCTCGACGCTTCTGGGTCGAGGACGTCCTGGTTAGCACGACCCGGAGACTACAAAACCGTCGGGGCCTGCAAGGCTGTTGGGCCTGCGAAGTTGTCAGGGTGCTCTGAACGGTGGGAGGCTGTACGTTGAGTGATGACGGCGCCCCGGCGCGCTCAAGATCTAGCTCTCCAGAAGCGACGAGCGACGGGATGCTCTCATTGAGACGGAACTCGTGAATGGGCTCGTTCGGCGAGATGCCTGCTGACTCGCTCCTGGAGTTGTTCAGCGGGCGATGTAGTGTTGGGAGGAAATCTGGCCAATTTGTGCCTCCCTGGGAGATGTAGAAGCGAGTTGCGATTTCCACCGTCTGATGGGTGCGCTCTGTGCTGTGGTGCGTCGAATGCACCAGGAGTCCCGGTACCGATATCGCCAACGACGTTGATATCATGTGGCGTGCGCGCGGTGAGATTTGCGGCTCCATTTAAGGTCTTCGTGCCATATCGTACATCTTTATATTGATAGCCGTCTCCAGCATTGCGTTAAGCCCGAAAATGGTACTGAAGCTTGGGTTAGAGACGCCGAGGGCACCTTTGAAAGCATCGCTGTACATTCGACTTAGGCTGCCTCCACCGAAGGAACGTACCAAGACTTGGTGGTGCATTGACAGTCATGGTATCAGAAGATCCAGATTCGAAATTGATGGCTAACTTGCCATCGATGGTGCAGTGACCAGTCAATTGTATCCCCATGTTGAGAGAAGGGGAGAACGACACCAGTCCCGGATAACTGGCCTGATACTCGGTGATGTCGCTTGAGTGTACCCTGCACCACGCCACAGTCTCGCCGTTATCACCATTGATGACCCCGCCCGGCGCCTGAAACCTCCACGGGGAATTCACAGCATAAGTTTCTCACGGTCGTAACACGTCATGCCGGTGACTGTTCGTCTGGCAACCGCTGCGTTTCATGACATCTCTCTGCCTTACCACTTCAACCCATCCTGCATCTTTCACGGAGAGCTTCAATCTCAGCCCCGGCCATCCGATCCGAGTTGGCCGAGTCGGTCACTTTGTCAACCAGCTTCGACATCATGGTGCACGTCGACGCCTTCTCTGTGCAAATAGCCGTAATCGTGTTGCTATGCGTACGGCACACCTGAACTTGGACATCCTGAGGATCCCACCGACCTTTGAGATAGTATCCCATCGGAAAAGCCATATAAAACATCTTCTTTCACCCACTGTCGAAAGTCCCTGGACCTCGCGCATGGTCAGCATCACGCCTTCCTTACGCCCACGCACTCTTTCGGGGAGCCATGATCCCTGACCTTCAGAAGCTGCGTCGAAGATATGGCCCTATCCTACGAACCGCACCAGATGAAGTCACCTTCGCCCATCCAAAAGCCTGGGCGGACATCTTTCAACCCCGTCCCCGCCAACAGCAATATCTAAAAGATTCTCTTTGGTGGGGCGCCCTTCGAACCCAAGAGCCTATCGTGCTTCAATATGTCAGCCTGTCGATTGAGCGACTGCGCGAACCAACGCCTGCCGACAGCCCTGAGGGCACTGTGATAAACATATTCCCGTGGCTTAACTATACCAAATTCGATATCTTCGGAGATTTAGCATTCGGCGAGTCATTCGGCTGTCTTCAAGACTCAAAATATCACCCCTGGATTGCCTTGATCTTCAACAGCATCAAAGCTATCGCGTTCCTGTCTGCTGTCAAATTCTTTCCGCTGTTCGATTGACCGTTGATAAAATGCATTCCACCATCTGTGAAGAAGCAAGGAGACGACCACCATCAGCAAATTGTGGACAAGGTGTAGTGGAGGATGAATTGGGAAGTCGATAGGCTAGGCATCATGTGATATAGTCTGAGTGTCTCCAACAGGGCTCCCCTTCATACACCCAGATGCATGCACAGACATCTACCTCCGCAAGCCGGGCCAAGCCGTCTTGCCTAAGGATATGAAGCGCTACTTCAAGGACTTGTGGATCAACGGTGTACCGGAAACACTCACAGCCGACGAGCCCACTCATTCCCCGCGTGCTTGCGCATGCATTCTCGGATAAAGCGCTCAGAGAGCGGGAGCGTTGATCCCGTCGCTCGTTGATCTCTTCGTCGCTTAATTGCGAAAACAGGTCTCGAGGTAGCAGCTCAACTGAGTCAGAAGGGATAGTCGACATGTCAGCCTGGAGCAACGGGGCAACTTTCGACTTCATCGGCGAGCTCGGATGCGGCGAGCCATTTGGTTGCTTGCAGGCTGGGAAATACCATCCCTGGGTCGCACTCGTTTTTGATTCTGTAAAAGGCGCGACCATGTTAGGAAGTGTACAGCAATTGCCCTGGTTCGATGCCGTTTTCCGAAAGCTAATTGCGATCTTCTTCCTTGAGAAACTGAGAGCATCAGGGATTGGCGGTTGAGAAGGTGGATCGGAGACTTGCTGTGGAGCATGATGGCGGCAAGAAGGAGATGTCTAGGGAGGAGAACTATTCGAATCTAAATCTCATCATTTTGGCTGGCTCGGAGACGTCGGCAGCAGCTATTTCAGGCTGTACATACCATCTCGCCGTGAATGCTGACATTCGTAGACAAGTTGAGGGAATGATCCGGGCGGAGAAGGATATCACGTTCGAATCCACGTCGAATATGGAATTCCTTGATGTTGTCATTCATGAGAGTATGCGAAAGTATCCTTCGCAGCCTATTTTCACGCCCAGAGTTGCTCCCACAGGGGTCGCGTCGCTGCCGGCTAGCCCGCCCTAGACAACGCACCCTCGAACCTGCTCTTGTGCCCGAACTAGCGAAACTATAGAGAGCTGACAGTGCTAATGGAGACGACGGTGGGAATATACCAACCGGTCGCCTACAACTCAAAGCGAAATTTTCTAGACCCGATTCTTTTGATCCCTCTCGATGGCTCGGAAATCCAGGATGCGGAAACGGTCGAAGAGCAGTATTCAAGCCATTTTCTGTCGGTCATCGGAATTGCATTGGAAAGCATTAGGCCATCATTTTCGTCGCAGTATCGCAGTGCTATACCAACTAGACTTGCCTACGCGGAGATTCGCGTCATCTTAGTTCGACTCATTTAGAGCTTCGCCATTGAGATCTGTGAGGAAAGCAACTTCTAGATGGATCAACCAGCCCATTGGATCTGGGCAAGGCCTCCGTTGATGGTAAGACTGGCCGAGAGGGTCTAGTAAGAAGATTGTGTGTCTCTAGAGTCGTAGAGAGCCTAATTGAAGTTGATTCAAGGAAGCCTTTCAAAGATGGTGGATCGCTATCTCGAGTCTTGGTCATCCAATCCAATCCGCTTTATCAATTCACAAGTGTTCCTCTCGCATCCTCCCTTCCAGCTCCGCCAAGAGCCTCTCGTTCGTCACAAGTTTTGCGATCTGTGACTGAGATAGAACCGAAGCCGCAACCCTTCTCCTATCATCCAAGAATTCAGTCAGACAACGCAATTGCACTACCACTAACGCGGACATCAGCAACGCCCACTCCCTTTTCGAAGTCATCTCGTACTCCCAAAAAAACAGGTCGACTTGCGAGTCTACCTCACGCCTCTGCAGCTGCTCCACAAACCTCTTGACGGCTATGGAGCAGAGGGTAACAAGTTTCTCGCATGGTATCAGTGTCTCCACGCGTGTAATGCACTCCAGACACTTCAGCAACCGCTGACAGCACGTTACCGCCTCTTGGCGGCTCGCAAGTGCCGCGGCCGGCGTAGATCCCTGAGTTGTCGTGATCGCCATATCCACATCTTCGAGCAGGAAAATTATACTCTCCAAGCAGTGACACGACTTCGGTGTTGGCTGCGGGGTAGGCATAGCTGTTTCGAATTGTTGTGGCGAGTGGTGGAATGGTGCCAACTCGAAGCGCATATTCAACTCCGGACTTCGACTACTAAGCGATGATGAATGAGGGCATCCTGGGCTGGTAGATTTTGAGGAAGCGGGCTCTCCCGGTATTTCGTAGCCCCATTCAGGATCGTTGATGGGAGGGTGGTTTAGTAGATATGGGTAAATCATGTTTGTGAGCTTCAGGCAACTAAAGAGAGTTTTTGACTAAACGCACCCTGTGAGAACGTGGAATCCAAGCCGCTGCCAAGATCTTTAAATAGGTTAGCCGATTGATCGAGTCCATGCTCTAGCGCTAGCATTTCCGCATGTTGTGGGTTTTGAGGTTATGGAATATTTTCTGAGCGTTCTGGGACACTCAGGTTGAAAACTGGCTCTGATTTCTATCGGTGTCTAGCGAATTGTATATATACTAGAGGAAGGAAAGGGGTCACCCCCAGGGTGGCGCGCTAGTAAGTTCAGATGAGCCCTGCACAGCTGAGGCTTCAGCTCGGTTCTCTACAGCTGAGATTTCAGCTGGGTTCTCTACAGCTGATGTTCGGAGAGTGGCTTTCTGGCATGTGAGTTGTTGATCCTAGGTTGTAGTGCTGCAACCTGAGTGGGACAGTCCCTTCTTGAAGCAGCATCTATCTAGAGCCACGGGTACAGACATAGATAGAGGTAGATCTGGTTCAATAGACCCAGAAGCTGATAAATAAGCTACTCTCTTCCGACCTCTTAATAGTTTGCCGTGGTTAAACTCTGTGTATGTGCAAGTTCGTGAGAGCGCCTTGCATCTCGTACAGCCATCTCCGTCTTTGCGGCACCTGAGCTAGAGAACAGCGAGATACGGCAGTAATATCTTTTATGCAAGAGCTAGACTCACCTTCTTTCGTCGGTAACGGTTACATGCCGAGCTTTGAAACCCGTCGAAACTATATCCTTTCTCAATGAACTAAATGAGAGCTTAGCATTTAAGCAGAAGACTTAGTCTAATGAGTCTTCCTCTTGAAGTGAGTGAGGGAACCGAAAACGAACTTCCTCACTCTCTAAAACTCTTGAAGCAACCGGAAAGAGATTATCAGCCTTCCTACGAGCTCATGAGACGTTGAATCGAACGGAAGAACCCATGAAGGAGACTAAGGGGTGCCATCGCAACCTCTGCCCCATTTTTCAAGGCTAGGTCCGATTTACTAATAGTCCTTCCCTTTGGAGAATACTCTGTATACGGCCCATCTGCTGGCACGATACAACATACTCGAGGTTGACTATGGCCATTGGCACAACAGATCTACATCGGATTTGGGGTAACGTGCAACACAAGCGAGCGGGCCACCGCATCACCGGAACGCGCTCCGTTAACTTTCAACTATCATGCCTCAACAACACAACGCGCAACCAGTCCAAAGCGAAGGCCTAATATATCTAGCTATCTTAGCAATTAATAAGAACCAAATTCAAAGCAAGCGACAAGCTGCAACAACCTTCCAAGTCCCTAGAAGCACGCTTCAACACCAACGCACCGGAACAACCACTTAACGCGATTATAAGCCTAATTTAAAGAAGCTTATAAAACCGGAGGAATTAGTTATTATTAAGTATATACTTAATCTAGATTTATAAGGGTTTGCGCCTAGCTTAAATATTATAAAAGATATAGCTAATAAGCTATTTAGAGAGTGCGGTGCTGGTTAGGTTAGTAAAAACTAGCTATATAACTTTATTAAGCGGACTAATAAGCTTTAAATATAGTTTAATTAAAAGTATAATTACTAGAAAGCTCTATATAAAAATCTAAGGATTATTGCGCTATAGTTTAAGCTTATATATAATATAAAGGCGAAGTATAGTATTATAAATAACGTATTTTATAAGTAAGCAGGCTACCTAAGTAAACGGGCCACCCTATTACTAAAACGCGATGTAAAATATAAATTGCTCTATAACGCTAATAAATATTAACTTAATATAACTTATAGTCTAATCTATAATAATTTCCTTATCTTTTTAATATATATAAGCGTTATATCCTGTCTTGCTATAGCGTTTATAGCGCGCTTACTGCCGTATACTTCCACCCGGGTGCCTTCTATTTTAATATATTTCGCCCTTAATTTGTTTATTAGCTTCCTTTTAAGCAATTATTTTAGAGCCCTATACCTTTATTAGAACTTTTTACCTCTAAATTTGCTTTTTTTTACGCTTTCTATACTTTATAGCGGCCTTATTTACCTTTTAAAGGCTTATAACCTAATTATATAATAATATAGCCCTATATATCTATACTTTAGCACCTTTAATAAGTAAATTAAGCAACTTAAAAATTATAGTAGAAGAGCTATTTTAATATATTTAAATATAATTATAAATTAATACTAATTAAGAGCCTAGCTTAAAAGTATTACTTAGTGTTTTTAATTTCTATTAAGCTTTTATAGCGGCAGGCAACAGTATATAAAGTATAATATTAAGCTTTAAAAGTACTACCTCTAGATTAAGCAGTATAAGGCTAGCGCTTTAAAAACTTATACAGATATTACTTTTTATAAATAAGTTGTTAAATACTACTTTAAAAGCTAGTAGGAACTTAAGCTTTATAATATAGTTAATATAGTTGCGCACTAGATCCTTAATTTAGCAACTATATACTTTTTTTAACAGCGCAAAATAGCCTATATTAAGCGGCTATAATAGATATAAAGCGTGCAGCAGTATATATAGTATAATAATATTATTCTTTTTATAAAGCTTTTTAAATTAAAGTAAGTTATAGCTTTTATAGCCGTCTAAAATAAGCAGGTAATATATACCTATAGTGCGGTCCTTTATATATATATTAAAATATTATAGCTATATAATACTAAGCTTATTTATTATCTAGCTATTATTACTTACTGCTATAGCCTAGTTTAGTAGTATATTGCTGCCCTTATATTATATAGAAAAGTAGTACTTACCTGCAAGGATAATAAATAGCAGGATTACCTACTTATAAGTATTAATAGCCTTAATTATAGTAGCCTACTTACAATTACCTAGTTATATAGCTTTTAGTTAATTTTGTCTTTTAGAGCCTATAATAACTACTCCTATTAAAATAACACCTATCTAGAAGCCGGTTTTATTAAAGTTATAGAAGTTGTTATCTATAATACTATACTTCGCCTTTATATTATATATAAGCTTAAACTATAGTATAATAATCCTTAGATTTTTATATAGAGCTTTCTAATAGTTATACTTTTAATTAAACTATATTTAAAGCTTATTATTATTATTATTATTATTATTATTAGGTTCTATTAGGCCGATTTAGCTCCTATTAGGGTTTATACGGCGGTGCTATATAGGTTTATTTATAAGGGGAAACCGTTCGCTCTATAGCGGTCGGGTAAAAACCTTATTTTTTATAGTATATAACGCCTTACGTTCCTTTTATTTCTGCGCGGCTATAGGGGACGTATGGCAGCTCTATAAGTATTACTATAGAGTAAGCTATCTTAATATATTTTCTAGAATTAATCCGGTGTCTATAGGCCCTAGGTTCTAGGGTTATATAGTATCTAGAAGGTTAGTAAAGTCCGGGGTTTATATTAGGGCGCGCGTGCCTTTACTATATACGCGTGCCCTTTTTCTTAAAAGCTAAGGTATTAAATTAAAGGATAATAGGAAATTAGGGGGGTTGCCCTATTATAGGTATACCTATAGTTATATAATATATATATATATATATATAGTTCTATTTTTAGGGCGTAGCTATATAAGTTAGCTAGCTATATAGCTAGCTTTTTTATTACTATCTCTCTAGCTATAAAAAGGTAGGGTAGAAGGTTTATTTAGTGCAGGAACTATTATAAAACGGCCTTATTTCCCTTATAGTCTTTATATAGCTGTATATACGTTTTTATTCTAGCCTTAAAAAATATATCGCCTCTGCTATTACGGTGTTATTTATAGTATATTACTACGTGCTTTAAAGACTATAGTATATACCTGCAGAGGTATATAGGTAAAGGGTAATTAGGCACCTTTATATAGTGTAGGTATATATTAAGCCCTATATATTCCGTTTATAGAAGCGTAATAATTAAGCTTTCTACTTTTATAAGCTTATAGTATTTAGTTACCTAATTTTTATTTTATTTTATATTAAGGGCCGGTGTAAAAGAGCCCCTTTATTTCTTTCTATAGGCCTTTTATTCGTTTTTCTACTTTTCCTTATATACTTCCTATATTACTCCTTATTTTAAAAGCTTATATAAGTTATCTAACTGCCCTTTATACCTTAGGGCTAGTGCTATAGCCTTAACCGCGAGCCTCTTTAGTATATTACGCCGGCTTAGCTTATATTTAGGCGTTTTCCTAGGCTTTAAAGCTTATTAGTCTGCTTAATAAAGTTATATAGCTAATTCTTACTAACCTGGCCGGTACTGCGCTTATTTAGCAGCTTATTAGCTATATTTTATATAGCGCTTAACTGCGGTGCAAATCCTTTTAAATCTAGGTTAATTATATATTAAATAATAACTAATTCCTCTAGCTTTATAAGCTTCTTTAAATTAGGCTTATAATTACGTTAGAAGGTTATTCCGGCGCGTTATTATTAAAGCGTGCTTCCAGGAACTTTAAAGGTTGTTGCCGCTTATTACTCGCTTTAAATTTAGTTCTTATTAATTGCTAAAATAGCTAGGTATATTAGGCCTTTACTTTAGACTAGTTACGCGTTATATTATTAAGGTATAATAGTTAAAAGTTAATAAAGCGCGTTTTAGTAATAGGGTGGCCTGCTTACTTAGGTGGCCTGCTTACTTATAAAGTACGTTAATAACTTCTATAATTTAATAAAACTAGCTTCTAAATAGGTGTTATTTTAATAGAAGTAGTTATTATAGGCTTTAAAAAATAAAATTAACTAAAAGCTATATAACTAGGTAATTATAAGTAAGCTACTATAATTAAGGCTATTAATACTTATAGATAGGTAATCCCGCCGTTTATTATCTTTATAGGTAAATACTACCTTTCTATATAGTATAAGGGCAGTAATATACTGCTAGACTAGGCTATAGTAGTAAATAATAATAGCTAGATAATAAATAAGCTTAGTATTATATAGCTATAATATTTTAATATATATATAAAGAACCGCACTATAGGCGTATATTACTTACTTATTTTAGATAGTTATAAAAGCTATAACTTACTTAAATTTAAAGAGCTTTATAAGGAAAATAATATTATTATACTATATATACCGCTGCATACCTTATATCTATTATAGCCGCTTAA